AATCCAGCATGACTTTCAGAAATTTGACACATATTTTCACAGTATGTACATTGGATATTTTACCATTGATTGGTGAAGAGGGAAAGTTTGTTCAGTGACTCAACTAATTACAAGTATTATTTCACATTAACTGACAGGTAGCCTGCACATTGTCATGTTTTGGCTACCATTACCTTTTCTTGGGTTAGATCATGTGAATTGTAAAGCTTTAAATTAAGATGGGGTGCTGAACTGTTGATGAGAAAACCATTTGTTTTAGACAATTGTTTGTTCACCTAGAGTTTGTTTCAAGTGCAATATGATACAAATATTTGTGAAACTGCATGGTATTGTGCAATGCATGGTTCACACTGTACAATCAATGGGAGTTGTTTTTTCTCCAATATTTTTGTTTTAATCAGTATGCATTCTATCATGATTTGGCACTATGCCGAGGGGTTTCGGTTGAGGTAACAGAGTCACTCTTGATGTCATCATGTGATGTATGTGTTCCAGCTGTAATTGAGTACATGTACACTACATGTCCAAGTTATCTTTCATATATGTGAAAAAATCAAAAGCTTATGTTTTTATTAGGGCTGGGACGGGTAAGTAGTGAGTAGGACCTGGGTACCCACAGGACTCCCCGGACCCGTGGTTAGTCATGTGATATATTGTTTAATGAAAAGGTATCTAGAACTGTATGTTTAAATTACAAGTCACTAATTTCCGCAGTTCTTTCGGACTACTACGCCAATTCCTTCTGACTTTTTTATGTAGAGAAAATTCACCAAATTCCTGCACAACATGTAGTTTGCAAGTTACGTTTGGCGCCTGTGACGTGTCCCTTGCAACAATAAAAAACAAATACCGCTTACAGCATAATCAGCAACTGCCAGTCTGGATTGTCTCCCCTTGACTGTAAAATTAATGGACAGTAAATCAGATGCCATGGCATTGCCGTTTAAATTAAAATAAACTAGGGTTTATTTCTCACTAAAACTTCAGTCAACTTCAGTGTATGCATGACCAGATCGTTTTATACGTGTATGTAAGCACATTTTGCCAAGGCTATGGTCAAACTTTCCCAATTGGACAGTTTGTACCTACCTCTTGAGACCTCCAGCGGGTACCGGGTAGGGTCGGGTAATAGTGGGTTTGGTATCCAGGTATTAACTTTGGACTCGTCTCAGCCCTTGTTTTTATGTCCCTTTGCTGCTCATGGGAAGGGTCATTCCAACATGTAAGCTAAGAATGGATTAACTTGAACAGACCACAGTAAGAATCTGTTAATGTGTCATAATAGATGTTGAGTCCCTCTGGACATTCACTAGTCTTGGAATAACGGACTAGTGCTTGTGTCTATCCCTAAAAGAAATGGCGTAAAATCATATCAGCTGATGGACTCATTTGTGACTCGTTTCTTCAACCTATTAAGAATATTCGGCTATTCAGAGTTGGATGCACCAACAACTCAGAGTGAGTGAAGCTTAACTCTGGTTATTGTTAAGTTTGTTATATTTGGCCACAATATATTATTAGATTTCCATCCCCGCCCACCTACCAGTAAACAATTTGCCTCACATTTTACCATCCCCAGCTCGGTACCAACAGGCGAAACAAATCACCATGTGTGTTACCTTCTTTGTTTAATGGAAATACACCATGGTCTTACCAAAATATTCATAGCTGACGTGAGTCCCATCCATCAATAGGTAGTTTACAAAGATGCCTTGAACAGGTTTTCAAAAAAAATGAAATATTAAAAACAATATGCTTCCCACCTCACACTCTATAAAAGTTTTCATGAAAATCTAACAATGTAACGTGGCCTTATGTTTCATTTATCTCGATACAACTGTAATAATCAAATGAATGTGACCCATGTATATAGACCCAGCTTGCCCGGGGGTTATCATGGTTATAACATAGGTTCCTGTTGATAAATGTTGCCTGGTGTTGGGAATCTGTTAAAGCGGACACTGGTACGCTGTTCCCCATTCCAGGTTTTTTGTGGGGGGACAGCACAGTGGTTAAGTATTATAGATATGGGAGGAGATCATGACATTGCTGCATTGTTTCTGTTTGTTGCCTGTGTTTTGAATTAAAACATCGTTTCAGAGAAATATGTCCCGTTTCACGTTTCTTTGTACAACCTAAGTTTAATGTAGGTCATGTATGACCTGACCCGTGAAGATCCGGGGTAGAATAGGTCTTCAGCAACCCATGCTTGCAGTAAAAGGCGATTATGCTTGTCGTAAAAGGCGACTAACCAGATCGGGTGGTCAGGCTACCTGGCTTGGTTGATGCATGTCATTGGTCCCAATTGCGTGGATTGATGCTCATGATATTAATCACTGTATTGTCTGGTCCAGACTCGATTATTTACAGACCGCCGTCATATAGCTGGAATATTGCTGAGTGCAGCGTAAAACAACAAACCAACAATGTATGACCAATCCCAGGACACCTCCATCGGGTAGTGGGATCTCATAGTGGTGGAAGCAATCCTTTCTGACAGTGAGTGAATTTGGTTTTGTCACAGGCAGCATTATTACAGCTATACAACTCCAAAAGATTTTAAAAGAACAATGAAATAATTGAGTGTGAGCTTGGGAAATCAGTGGTCGATGATATCAACATCAGTCCTCTCCTACAGCCCAAGTCTCACATGGTAACCACCCAGTTCTTGTTGGTCTGTACATCCACAGGCATGGAATACCCGGGATGGATCCTGCCCTGGAAAGGGCCACCGGGCTTCTGACAGATTCAGGTTGTGTTCTCTAAATAGGTGAAATATCCTAGTCTCTGCTGTTATTTTGGGTGTTGTGTCTGCTGTATTTCTGTGCTATAAATGCAGCATTGCCTTGATGTCTTCAAAACTCCAGTAGACGAAGGGGTAGTCTGGTGGTTAATGCGTTTCTCATCACACATGGGTGGTGATTTCTGGTGACCCCTCCCATGATATTGCTAGAATATTTCTGAAAGCAGAGTAAAGCCATACTCACTCACTCACTCAAAACTCCCACACACTAAGAAGAATTGACGTGTTATGTTTTTGCTAACATTTACATTACAATGAAACAACTGTTACATAATTATTATAAATGGAGTCAACAACATCACAACACTTCTGTTCTTTATTTCATTAAAATGTCACTACATCAACCAACAGTCGTGTATTTAGTGTCCCAGAATTTGAGATCGAAAGAAATAATGTCTTATTTCCAAATCAACATGACCAACTGTGTTTGCTTCACAACCCGAGCTTGCCACTCAGCCATCTAAATAGGATGCATAGATCATTTACATCCTATTTGTCATTCAAGATGATTAAAAGCTCGGCTCCTGAAGCATCCTGTTGGACACAATATACTGTCTCTCAAATGTTTTACAAAAATAACTGTATTCTGTGATACTGGTTGTTGTAAGAATAATGCAGTCTGAAACATGTGCAACTATGAACATATTGCTTTTTTACAAGCGGTACATATGCAATGATGAATTTCAATACAATTCACCTGACAAGACAAAAACAAAACAAAATTCAAATACAGTCAACATACACTGAATTATCAAAGTTTGAGATCACTGAAATGTACAATTGGGCTGGAAGTGCCGAATTCAGGCTTAAATAGGGGTGATTCACATACTCCGTCATACTGGATAGTTTAATCCTCCCTCCTCAGCTTGATAGTATGTTTTCCATGCACAACTTATTTGAATGTAGCAGATTTGGAGTTTAGTTAAAGTATTAAAGCTTAATTTATTAAAATTTATTTTATACCTACTCAAAGGTGAGCCCTGCTTTGAAAGATTTTGACAAGGTAGGTCAAAGTCCACCTTGAGGTTATTGTAAAACATGGTTATGTCACTGTCAGTCTCTGAGGGATGGGTACCTCTACACTAAACACAACGCTAATTAGGCCTGGGATGATACACCAACTGTGCGATCCGACACGTATCACGATACCATACTTACGATCCAATATGTATCACGATACTTGCATGTGCTCTTATCTGTGGTGCGTAAGCCTTCTTTTTCATAGACAGGATGGCCAAATACCTGGCACACTGATGATTTACAGTTGGCAGTGTCAAGTGTGGCAGAACAAATGAAAATATGTATGTTTTCAATATATTAACTTGTACCACTGACTAGTGTTTTTTGGAACATTTAAGTTCAGAATCGATATTTTTTACTTGTGTGCTACCGTGATCAATACTTTATCGAGAAGTAAAATATCGCGATCCACCAATGCATCAGTGTATTGTCCCACCACTATCCCTAGGGTCATCTTTGAGGTGTAGAGTGGCTGTATCATTCATTGACAGTTGCTCTTGCTCGCAATAGTTTTTAATTTAAAGTAGATTTGATTAAGATGAAGGTCTTGAGGTAATGTTTTCTAACTGAAAGTGCATGTTGGAATGTTATCGTTTTGAAGTCTTTGAGGTAATGGTGAAGGGGCTGCTTCAGGTTTTTCATTTTTTTGGTTTACAGATTTTGACAGTGAAACATTTGGTTGTTAGGTCAGGAAAAAAAAAGAAGAAAAAAAGTTCTTGTAAGTTGAGCAAGATATTCTAAATCATCTTAATTTTATTTGGATCAGTAAAAATTCGATTAAAAATAAATACATCTGGGCCTGGTTTTGGTCCTTATAAATATAATAAATTTTCAATCTGACTCAGCATCTCATTGTCATTTTTACTGTCTAACCGATCGATATATGAAAAACCTTGTCATTCTGATTTATTTGTTTCTGAATTTTCGATTTTTCAGGTTGGCGAATCCGTAAACCAAGCAAAGCAATGTAAGGCCTAAGTAATTTATCTAAATAAATGACATAAAATCCATACAGTGTATTTGTTTCATCTTTAAGATTTCTACATTGATTTTGTTCTCTGCCAAAATCAGTTGTTCCTACTAGTCCAAACTTAACACTGGATAGGAAGACATTTAACTAGACTAACACTTCTAATAAATGTCTGAAGTCCCAGATTCCTATAGAAATATCTATGTTCTAATTTAGAATATTGTTAATTATCTCTGTTAATGGTTCTTTGTCAACTCCTGGCTTGAAGGTGCTGGCATAGGAAACTATTCCATTATGAATGATAACATGGCGGTCTGGAAAAGCAGAGAAAGCCTTGTTGGCAGAATTGTCCATCAAATCCACGACAAAATCGCAGGAAATGGCATTGTCTTCCTTGAATGTAGCTGCTGCTCGTAGCCTGTCAGCCAGTTGTCGATGTTGTGGCAGGCGATAGGGCCAGTTGGGGATGGCCCATCCATCTGTAGGGTGAGCCTCCATGATGTATACAACTAAGAAGTCGGCAACACTTGATAGTGTCTCCGTGGCCTCCTTGAAGTCCTGCAGGTGCTTCATAAACAAAGGTCAGCTACAACTCCCAAACCTGAAATTTATTCATTAATGGATGACCTGGAACAGTTACAACCTAATATGCATAGTTGGATAACATTACATTTTTAACATGATTCAACAGCAGTTTGCACCCATCCACTATTTGAAAAGTATCAAGTACTAACGTTCCCTGCCGAAATATTTTGATAATAAAATTATTCTGTCCTTTGAGAATAAATGGACTGTGAATTTTCAAACAGAGCCATGTAACGATGTTGCATTACAATATCTTCCAACAGTTTTCCTTTCATCCTGTCAACAACATTGAAAAATCTGATTTCATAAATCTCCCAATTTTGATCAAACAATGTTTCCAATCCCTCGGGGCACAGGGCTATCTTGTCTGTATGATTATCAAATTCACATACTTTAGACTTACCACATTAATAAACTGGAGAGTTAAGATCAGTTAATGTATTTGGATACTTAACTGGAACATAGATCACTGTTTTAACAAATATATGATTATGATATATGAATACGACTGGAAATATCAGGAAATTGAAGAAAAATACTAGAATATGAATTAAATACCAGGCAATCCTGAAGGCAAAAGAAAGTTACACTTATTTTATTTACCTTCTTACCACTTCCTCCAAAATATAATGGCTTTATACTGTTTGTAAACTCATGCAGAATCGAAAAATGTCAAACTCACCTCAGTACCAATGGCCTGCCCTTCTTTGCAAACTCCATCAAAGTGTGTTGTGTGTTGTCAAGAGCAACTACCTGAACATCCTTGGCTGGTTTTCCAATCACAACGTTATCATAGATACGGCCATTCAGAGCCTTCCACATGGTCTGAGCTACCTTCATTCCACACCAGGCTCGAATCAGCGTCTCAGGGTCAGTTTCATCTTGGCTGTTGTTTTTTTGCCTGGCCTTCATTTTAGACACTGCGAACTGACGAAGTGGTGGTACCATAATGACCAGGAACACAATCATCTGGAAGACAGCAATCCCAATAAGGGCCGCCACAGACAACACTGGACGGGGCACATACCCCTTAAGGTAGAGTATTGAGGCAGGTGTGATCATCACCAACGCTGAAAACAAATACTTAACACTTAACTTAAGTCGAATATTATGGGTTAAACAATACAAGTTGAAATATAGGACAAACGTATGCAATAACGAAAAAATGACACAACAACGAGGGGGGTCATTAAACTTTATCACAACAATAAGGGGGGTGCCATGAAACATAACAGTTCTATAAGGTTCAAATAAAAGAATTATATATTTGTACATTATTTAGGGACTGCTCATTCATTATGGGGGTGGGGGGTGAAGAATTGAATTGTCATGGGAAAATGTTTCTTACATGAAAAAATGTTACAATCTCACCCTCAGTCCCTCAAAACTCTCAAAAATTACAAATAGTTTACAACACATCCCTCATTTAAAAACTGTTGTCAAAGTCTTTCGCAATGGATGGGTAAATACAGATAAAAAAGGATGAAAGATGGTAATCCATGACTGAACGTTTGGATCAGTGATAGATGGTAAAATTCCAAATGATTCACACACCTCCCAGGACACACAAGGCAGACATTGCCATAGGCAATATTGATCTACATGATCAGAACATGACCCAGTAGACATAATGGCATCAGTCTCTGACTTCAAGGTACTTCGAGTGTATGTTATTTTTACCAGAATATACTACTGAACAGTTCAACTACTGAGTTCTGACCTAGACCTTAGTAGTTATCACACCTTTTCACTTTGCTAATCTCAGATGACACCCAGTAGAAGAGTTGGTCAAAGTTCTGTCAAAATGAGGTCGGGGTTATAATGCAGCACAGCTTCAATGTTCAAGCTGACAATGGGAGTTCGAGCCTCCACGCCGCCCTAATTGAAATCCGAAAAAGTGCGCCCGGTAAAGCGCCCTACACCTGGTCCCCTACTCCTGGGGCTTTTTCCGGTTGGTTGGGGGCTTTTTCCGGTTGGATGGATGATTGGTATTTCCGGTTTAGGGGAGGGGGGGTTGGGTGCATACATAGCGACCAGAACTCAACGGGATAAACACCATAGAATCGACTTAATCGACAAACACAGAATAAAGCAAAAACATATGCACTTGTGTTGTATATAACCAAGTCGAGCGAAAGCTGTCGACAGGGGCTATAAATAGCAGCGTGTAAAATGTTGTAACGCGGGGCTAAACCGGAATACAATTTCTTTTGGCAGCTCGCTAAGGAATGACTGCAAATTCGTATCAAAACTCCCGTGTTGCTTATTCTCTGTAATTACTACAGTGGAGTAGAGAAATGCATTGTTGAACGAACCGTTCTTCACACAAAACATTTAGTAGTACATAGATCTATATATGTTACAGTCAGTGTCTATAATCAGTCAATATGTACATATAGACTGATTTACTCATGCAATGTACATATTGACTGAAATGTTCTGTAAATGTACATATCGCCTGTAAAATGAGACTGGATTTTAGACAGTAGACAGATTGACTGAACTAGACTCCTTAATTCACTCGCCTAGCTCATTTTAATTTTGATCTACTTTGACCTTACGAAGATTAAATGGGACAGTGATATTTATTATCATTTATCATCCCAAACTGGCTCCCACAGGAGATATCGCGTGGGTGAGATCAAGCGATATATACATTGTAGATATAGCTGCAATGAAATTGCATCGCAGTGCTTTGCACATGGTAACCATGACGTCACAATCAAATGACATTACCAATGGCTTTGCTACTGAATCTGTTAGCAGTACTTTTTACACATTTACACTGCTTATTACTGTCTACAAACTGAAAAAGTTGGAAGAATGATGTTGGATGATAAATAAAATCTCACCCTCGTGTCTTTTGACATCAAATATATCAACACACATTGATAAAAGTGGGGAAAAAAACTCCTTTGCAAGTCTCGGAGGTTTTCAACGGTTATCAACACGTGTTGATATATTTGATATCAAAAGACACTCGGGTGAGATTCTCTATATGATGACGCTTGTGGTCTTGTTTTTGAAATCTCAAAATGACACCATAAATATGTTCCTTCCACAGGGACTTCATGCAGATATTTCATCCTTCCTGTGTATGGAAAAGGAAAGTGCATATGGCCGAGGAAAGGGTAGAAGAACCGCTTCTCTAAGTATGCATGCAGTTTACACAATATATTGGAATCAATCAATCAACAAATCACTATTTATCTTTGTTTTCTTAATAAATAAAAAGTAAAACAGATCAGAAACCAAATAGTTCAAAGATAAATAATAGGTAGCAGTGACCCGAAACAGTCTCCTCATCAAAGTAAATAACCTGATTAGCAGGGGGCAATGATTCAGCAGACTGGCCTATGGGACTTCGTTTCGTACAATTAAAAAAACCTGCAGCTACCATTCTGGTATCAAACGATCACCATACAAAGCTTTGTTTGGTACTAAAGCCAAAGGTGGACTTCGTTCCCGTTCTCTAGCAGCAGAACTTCTCGAGGGAATGGTGCCTGAAGACGACCTTTTTACAGCATTCTCTCCCACAAACCAGACAAAGGAATTAGCCACATTGTTGAAACAGACATGTGCAAACGCCACCCCAGAAAGATGTTCCCGAGGCTCAGTTAAGAACCATCTAACTGAACGTCCATGTCCAGCGAAAAAGGGCAGCAGATGGCCAACCTGCACAGGCTGAACGCGTGGACAAGCGTAGTCGTCTTGAGCATGGTCCTGGCAACCCCGGTGATACTGTAACAGTTCCCATCCCGCTTGTCGATGGTGGTAATTAATCAAGGCAACCCTCAAAATATCATGGGCGTCATTGTGGACAGAGACGACAATGACTTGTATCGTGTAGCTGTTCGTGCAGGGCTCCTAAAGGGACACTCTAGCAGAAGCCATCTTCCCGAGGCAAGAGTGAGTGAGTGAGTTGGGTTTTTAACGCCGCTTTTAACAGTATTCCAGTTATATCACGGCGTGTCAGCTTAATGTGGGAGGAAAGCCCGAAGTGATGCAGGTCTCAGACGTTTACCACTTCGGTGAAACCCACGAGCACGGGTATGGTGCTGACAAACCTAGAAACATAATTGGGGCGAACCGGGATTCGAACCCACAATCATAGGTTTCTGGCGTGCCCAAGGGACGCAACTCTGCACAGCGAATCGCGGCGCCTTAGACGACTGGGCCACCCGTGCCCCCTCCCGAGGCAAGAGATCTAGAGTTAACAGACTTTAAAAGTCCAGTTTCCACCCTTGCCGAACTAGGCTGGAATTCCTGGGCTCGATCGTAGCGCCACCAGTGGCTGTTACGAGTTATGACCCTTCTGAGCCTCTCCTATGAACCAATCAGATTCCACCTCTCGTATCACTTGCATTTGCTTCAAACAAAACAGTTGTTCCAAGTCAAGGCGATCTGATCGATAATAAAGATCTATATTGTGATAAAAACGGGTCTTACATCGCGAAATGCATCAAATCACGTGAGCACTTTGATGAAAAACGTGAAAAGATTTGGAAAATATCTGTTGACAACGAGTTGGCGGTGCACATGCTTTGCAAATCCTGCAATCGACCGAAATCTGCACGACAGTTTACGAACCGGATTTCGATTTCGTTGCGCGATTTTGATTGGACTATGCATAGACTCGTTAGTCCAGCCAAAATGTCTCTCCATAATACCAGCCTAGTTCGGCAAGGGTGGAAACTGGACTTTTAAAGTCAGTTAACTCTCTTGCCTCGGGAAGATGGCAGAAACCAGCTCGACCTCTGCAGCAAATTAACAGCTGTACAGCACTGGGGACATATGTAAGGGGGTGGGCCTCCGCCAGGAAATGCAACATGAGTCCCAGTGCGGTGGTCAGGGATTGCCAAATGTGGTTGTGTAATTAGTGACAAACAGCGTCAGACAAATAGAAGAAAAAGTTGCAAGGCACGTTTAAGATGCAACAAAAGGTGCCACTCAAGTCTTACATGTGACAAATCATGCCAGGAAGTCCTGAAGTGGTGCCCTTGTTTTGATTTTTTAGGAATATATCCTCCCTGTTTCCATGGAGACAAATGGCTTTAATGGCTTATATTGAAAAGAATGGGAACCGGGGGTACATGTCATTTTCTGAAGACTCTTGTTCCAAGTGCGCGCACGTTGGTCACGTGGGGTGGTGCTTTTGTAAAGAATGTTTATAACTAGAAATCGTAGAATTTCGACAAAATAATGGAATAGAGTTCTACAATGGGATAGTCGATGGATAAAGGATCCACATGAATGTCTTAAGTCTTGTGAGAGGATTACTTTAGGTTTCAGAGTTTCTGAGATTGAGTTTTTTGCAGCAAAGGATTTCGGTAGAATATATCAGTTAGATAGCACGGAGCCATGTTATGATTAATTTTGAAGAAAAGACAAAGTTTACATGTCTTTCTATGCTCAACTAAGGGTTCCCAACCGGTTTCATAATATAGTAAATGCCTTGGGGCATATTTGGGTAGACCATTTTCAATGCGTGCAGCTTCTGATTGTAATTGATCTAATTTCTCACTGACCTTCGGTGCAGCCATGCCATAACTCACATGCGTATTCAAAGTTTAGTCTTATGACAATCTCATTAAAATCAGACCTCTGTTCTCTCTACCGCTAAACAAGCTTTGTTTAGCTGTAGCGAGAACTAAGATCTGATTTTAATGAGATTGGTCTTATGAACATTTTATATAAATAGAGAGAGAGAGAGAGAGAGAGAGGAGAGGGAGAGAGAGAGTCATGTTCAGGATTATGTTTAACAGCTAAACGTGTTTAGGGTCTAACAAATGTGTACATAGCCCCTTTTGATATTGTATCTTTTTATGGTCGTATGCTAGTTTTAAATATCAATCTGTGATATTCTATTCATTTTACTGTCCATCGATGACAGGTTTTTATTTAGTCTAAATATATGTATTAATAATGTATAATTTCGTCACGATATGGCTGAAAAATTGCCGATGTGACGTAATGCATTAATTCACTCACTCTAAAACAATTGAGTGAACACAGACCATTATTGCTATTACTAAAAAAGGGTATGGCACAACGACTAAGTTGGTGTATAATCAATATCGTATTGCATGTGAACAGCTGAAATGTCATGACAAAATGACTGTCCTCTGAGGTCTCACACGTTATCCAAGTCACAAGGGGTAGAAATGATTCTGCTTTTCCTGATAGCAGTCAGTAGCCAGTGTGACCTCCTCCAGAAGTTGTACATGTCTCATCGTGATTTAGCATAGAGGTCGCTAAGCTCTGTTGTCACTGCTGTACAGTGTTTTGCCGTTTAAGGGTCTACCAATCGGCAATTTAGAGAATGTGCGCGAGTATGCTGCCATACCATTCGTATGACGTTGGTCTGTCCCAAGAAATCCGTGACGAAGAGAGTTTGACGGCAATTTTGTTTAGCCATAGAGCTCTTCTTCCTGTCATCGGGAGACAGGGACCACCAATGTTCTGAGAATTTCAATTATGTAATGAACAGCATTGCGATGACCATTGATCACATCAGTCAATCAATCTTTATTGTATGAAAGGCCATTGGCCCATATACACATACAGATAAACAATATCATTTACAGCTGTACAGCGCATTATATAATTATTGGATAACTAATATGATGCTTGACATGTAATAGAGGTATTGTAATAACAGTGGTAATAACCACAGTGGCAGTAGTAGTATAAAATACAAAAGGAATGGAATAGCATAGCACGACGTTCAATACAAAAGAATCTATCAGCAATATACTCATCATGTCATGACAATTTGACAATTTAAATGTATATGCATTTCTAGTAGAAACAAACAGACAAAAATGAAATGTAGATACTCCTGATCTAGATGCGAAAGTTTCAAAACAACTATTTTTTTCTGGACATATCGGATTCACTAAGTAATTTACTACGCACTCGTAGACTTTGATAGATGTATTGTAATATCTTAGTTAATTTTTTACTAGGGATACCAGTATTTTGTTCATGGAATAGTGGTTCTTAGTGATATCAGGCATATATTTCAATCTGAGGTTGTCGTAAATTGGACATATAAACAAAAAGTTTAGGGGAGTCCTGTGCCAGAATAAAAATCCACCCCGCACCATCACACTACCACCACCAAACTGATTGTGTTCCCGTACGTTGACAGCAGACCTACCCGTGAAGATACTGAGTAGAATAGGTTTTCAGCAACCCATGCTTGCCGTAAAAGGCGACTATGCTTGTCGTAAGAGGCGACTAACGGGATAGAGTAGTCAAGCTCGCTAACTCGGTTGATGCATGTCATCGTATCCCAATTGCGTGGATCGATGCTCATGACATCAATCACTATATTGTCTGCATGGTCCAGACTCGATTATTTACAGACCGCCGTCATGTAGCTGGAATATTGCTGAGTTCGGCGTTTAACAACAAAACGTCCACCGCTATGTCTGTACATCGGGATCTGACCTTCGTTATACTGCAGTGGAAACCGTGACTCGTCTGAGAACAGAGCTGCTGATAGCTGGCCATGTGTCCATTGACGATGAAGCCGTGCCTTAGCCTCTCTTGCAGCTCATAGGATTGGAAGCAAACTAGTATCACTGCTTGATGTCTAGGATGGAGACTCTGAGGGGGTTCTAATGGTCTCATCACTCGCGTCAATTTCGTTTGCAGTTCTCAGTGTTCTTCGCATCTGATTTGCAGTCACTGTTTTCACTCACAGGGCGGTGACGCCAAGGCAACGGTCCTCCCTTCTTGGGCCGGTCCCGTGCTCTCTGGAAACCTGTGGTTGTCTGTGGAAGACAGGTTTACATTATGTCTGTGTGCAGCTTCCCTCATTGAAACACCCTCGTTCAGTCATCTAACAGTTCTTGCTGTTTCTTCGCCAGTCCGATGTCTTCGTTGGGGCACGTGTAAACTGGCCATGGTTCCAGCGTGTGTGCTCTATTATAGCCATTTCTGTCACGACTATCACAAGAGGCTTAATGTGCACGTGTAACAACAAAATCATGCCTGAAGACCATTTCTATGAAAGATGTGAAACTTTTCCAAGAACGCCACTAAAAGTCAACCAGATTTGTGTAAAAACGCACAATTCACGCCTTATGGGAATTTAAACTAGAAAACAGCCTTATCACTATCCCCCGTCATGAGGCACATTAGAATTGTGTTTGTTCATATAGTAGTAAATATAAACTATAAAAAAAGAGTCCTATAATATAAGCCTCAGAAGTGATAGGTACTTGGGCCGCTTTATATCATCAGAAGTGTGAAATTAAATGTGAAAAAATACACACAAAAGGCCCCTTCTCTGGAAACAAATAACTAGATATTGATCAGTATAATAAATTATCTTATAATATAGATAAGCTACTTGCAGACACTATACCCCAAGTAAAATAACATGGATCAAGTGCCGTAACTCTGTAAAAAGGGACCAATTTTCGGACTTCTTCTTGAAAAATATCTCTCAGATAAACATGCAAACTTTTATTTATGCAACTTCAGTAGTTGCTGTGAAAACTTGTCATTGCACACACTACACACTAAGTAAAATAACATGCATGATTTTTTTACCCCTCAGTACTGAAATGAAGAATTATAAGGTTTAAGTTGTTACTACTTTCGAGTTTCGAGTACGTGAAATCAAAATATATTATCGATATCTTCAGATACAAAATAAGCAGTAATTAGGCGGACATAGTTACACACGTGCGTTTCGCCAAGGGGGAAAATGTCAGGGATCACTAGAGCTTTCCTCCAACCAAAACGCCGTCATGTAACTCCATATTATAACAATGTGCAATGGGAGTAATCGAAGTCTTCGAAAAATCATGGTATAGCGATTGCATCCTGATTGGTCGAATACCTAGAATGAAGATGATCTGATTGGTCGAAAAGTCGCCTGAGTGCATTCCTTCCCAATTGGTCGAATCGGTGCAGCTAGCCAAATATGGTAGACTCTTGCATGGGATCTACTTAATATAAAAAAATATTATTTTGTGAGGGCTGTTAGACAATAGTGAATAGGTGGTGACAGGCGACCGAATGGTACATACATCTTTGTATATGTTGTAATATTTATTTTATTTACTAACTTAAAATTACAATATACAACTTATTACACCTAATTTATTATTCAAATATTTGAACACATATCGCTACTTTTTGCTCTTTTTTGTTTGTTAATAAATAATAATGTTTTAATGACGAGAATTGGATTTAGACAAGTAGTTTCATGCCGCCCTATTGTATTTATTGGGTACATGTACCTCGCGAAACAGGAAACGCAAGAGTAGTAAAATCGTAAATATCTGACATAGTGTTGTTAACATACAAATTAATACCGAATATGAATTGGCCATTTCTGCTTGGATCGGGATTGATGTGTGTGGAAAGAATCAGGTACTGTGAAATTTGTAAAAAAGATAGATAAATCACAAAAATACAACCACGTAAGAGCCTTGCTCCGAAACACGCCAACATGACATGGCGGTGCAACATCACTTGTTGGACTATAAAAACGTTGGGTTTGCATGTCATCCCAATCTTACAGCAAGTGGCCAGCGAAAACATGCCACGACTGATGGATTTGTTTGTTTGTTTGTTCGTTCGTTTGTTTGTTTGTTGTTTAACGCCGAACTCCGCAGTATTCCAGCTATGTGACGGCGATCTGTATATAATAGAGTTTGGGCCAGATAATGCAGCGATTGACATCATGAGCATCGATCATGACATGCATCAACCAAGTCGGCGAGCCTGACCACCCGTGATCCCGTTTGTCGCCTCTTCCGACAAGCATAGTCGCCTTTTACGGCAATTTTGGGTTGCTGAAGAGCCATTCTAACCCTGATCTTCACGTGTCCAAGACTGACGGAAGCCAAACGCAACAACGCCATCGGCTGACTGCAAACAGGAGAATAATCTTCAGCTGTGGCCAGGTTTATCCACGTATCACAAAGCAACGTTACAAGAGTGTGGAACCGTTATTTGACACATCCGGTCGACCACTTATCACATAGCACAGGACAGATTCATACGTATTACGGCTTCGTCACTTCCGTTGCACGATATTGATAATGATATGTTAGTATGTTAAAGAGTTAATATGTTCATATGTTCCTTCATTGAATGTGACCAGTGAAGATTCGGGGTAGAATAGGTCTTCAGCAACCCATGCTTGTCGTTAGAGGCGACTAACGGGATCGGGTTGTCAGGCTCGCTGACTTGGTTGATGCATATGTCATCGATCCCAATTGCATGGATCGATGCTCACGATGTCAATCACTGGATTGTCTGGTCCAGACGCGATTATTTACAGACCGCCGTCATATAGCTGGAATATGGCAGAGTGCGGCGTTAAACAACAAGCGAAGAGACGCTTCAATGAATGTCACTGTAGTGTATGGAGGACTACTTCAGTTTTGACATTTCGTATTAAGCAACCAGAGAGGTATGGAGTTCTTGGAGATTATTTCTTACATTGGATTTGTTTAATAATATAATTCTTAATTCTGTAGGATATTACAACATGCACAAATTTAAAATGAGTTTGTAAGTGTATTATTAAATCTGTATTTTGATAAAGTGATAATAAAATGTAAAAATCCCTATACTTTTAAGTAAGCTTTCATGATTTTTTTTCAATACATCATAGAATAGTGTTTCGTCTGCTAGCCCATCTGGAGCCATCTGTTAAAAAATCACTAGCGGTCAATCATCCACTGGGCTGATCCGGAGAGTGGACTACCCTACTGCTAAAAGGAGTTAAAAAGAATACCAGCCTGCTCACTTTTGAGGATAATTTTACCCTGTTCCCCATAATATTGGAGGAAAAGGCCTTATATTGAAACCTAGAGTTAACAGCTAGGTATAAGTGCTTAGATTCTAACAGATTCTGACTCGCATACAGGAAATACGGTAAAACGGAATAACGCGAAAGTGGTGCCGTTTTCGCCAGATGAAATCGGTGCCGTTTTGCACCCGATCATTTAACAGATTTAACCGTTTCAATTTCATAAACGGTACATGCCACGCGATGAGCTCAGTACAAAACCCAAACCCGTGAAACGTAAAACGATAAGACTATTGAGACAAACACTGACAACACAGGAACGATGTACTCGGCACAAAAAACATACGTACAAACGCAGCAGGAAGACTCTTTGGTTCATGAGGCAAAGATGGTAGCGTTACTTCCCTGCAGCGTCTAAAGGGACTCGCAAATACAGACGTTATAAAGAAAACATTCAAGCTATGTTGCGAGTTTGTCATAAACATTTCAAAGTTCTCCAGGAATATATATGTGGGAAACGAATGAGTAGTCTGTCCGAATACGTCAAATGTAAGTCCTACATAACGTTTGAACATGTGCACTTATAATTTCCAGGTGAGATAACATAGATTTGGTTGCATGTTGCTTTTGTATGTCTTCAGTGAACTTGCCGAAGACAAGTTTGCATGGTTAGTGCTAGTGCTAGGCCAAGTGATTGAATCTCGATTGATATTGTGTTCGAACGTTCAGTTTGGTATTTGGATTATATTCTATTTAATTTGTGTCATAGCCGCAACCATATTGTATATGTTTCCTGTTTGTTGTTTACCTGTTTTGCAAAGTCGAAATAGAATGCTTCTCTGAAGTTCAGGATCTTATGATATGAAATTGAAAGAGTGTCAAGGCTTTCACTTCAGAATAACGAAGAAGAGTATGTCATCTTCACGATTGCTCTCTTGCAAATTACAATTAAGTGCTTATTTATCCCTGTTTCACCTGTTTTCGTCTACATAAAACAAATGTGGGGTAAAATTATGCACATTCCAATAAACTATTTTTATTATTCCTTCATCATGTTCATGTAAACTGTCACTCACATTTCACCGACTGCACCCTTCAAACCAAATTGTCATTTGCTGCCATTGCTGCATTTGAAGATGTGTCTTAAAGGGGCACTGATCTAAAGCAATTCCCTGGGACTGGTTGTTGCCTTTCTTATTGTTTTTTCCCCTGAGTACCCGGATGATAAAGCAGAAAGCTAGACTAGTTCGCAACCTGTGCTGCGCAATTCGTAAGCGCATTTGTCCCTCTTGTTGATAGTATAAGGGCGTATGGTCACATCTATCAACAAAATGAAATACAGTTTTAGAAATAATAAGGAAATGAAGGTATCTTTGTGCATAGCATCAGTAATGGTGACGAACTTTTGCTTGGTAATTGTGAGATTTTCGTTTACACTATTTTGACTTGCAACACAAAGTAAAAATTTCTCCTGAGCATTGCTTATTTTATCGTGTTTATATTTTTTACAGTCAAAATGGGCAAAATTTTCATTTAGGAAATTTATTAAAAGCCTGAATATTCAGTTATTTTACAAATTGACTGAAAAATATGTCCATCTGTATTATTATGATAACGAATTCCAAACATTTTTATGTTTAATATCATCACCAAGAGACTGAAAATGTTACGATGAAAAGTACATTTCTACATTGTTTGGCTTCTAATCCTTCATAATAATCTATTGTGATGTTTATAGGCCCTTTTGATCATCTTAATCAGTTTTAGTCAATCTGTTAAAGAAATAGACAGATTTTTCAGTCAAAATGACTGAAATATTTACACATTTTATAAATTGCCTGAGAGAATCACATTTTACAAATTGACTGTAATATATACACGCTTACAAAGGAAAAGACTTGTGAAAACAACAACTATCGCGCATCGAAGAATTTCCCAACCAAGACGTAGAGGAACAGGAATGAATCTGTCCAATGCTACAGCAAATGAAGGAAAACAAAATGCAAAAGTTCATGTGTGGCCCAAGATGGTTCACTGAGTGTAAAACGTCCGGTACTATAGCAGCGTCGGGGAGCATCTGGTGGGAGCGTCCGGGAGGTTTCATCAGACGAGTTTAAAAATACAGTGCAGTCAATAAAACATGTCTTTCTCAGTTTGGTAAGATCAGGAGAATATCAACTGGCGTGGGTCCTAATATTTAACGTCCGAGATCAGGAGAATATCAACTGGCGTACGTGTTTGCCATGTGCAGCAGCCAGACAATGGAAGTACCAATAACCGGAAGTTTCTTGCCGCTGTACGTGGCAGACACGTACGACAGTTGATATTCTCACGATCTTACCAAACTGAGAAAGACGTGTTTTATTGACAAGCACATAGGATGACGTCACTTATGACAGTGGTGTCATGCATTAATGTGCAATTAATGCAATCATGAGAATAGACAAATTCATCGGTTCGATGCTGAAAAGGTGAGATTTTGGGGTGTGTAAGGAACAGATTACTGCACTCGTGCCTTTCAGATACCATTGATTTTACAACTCGTTGTCCTCTGAACAAGTCGCAAGAATAAATTAAACTTCTAAGGCTGCAGTCTTGATTTATATGTACTGCCATTTGTCTGGTGGACCCTTTGTATAACACATGGAAACATTGTTGTGTGAAGGTAGCTGGGATGGAGACCGAAACTGACATTGTGCCTGATGTCGAGTCTTACAGTCCAGGGGACACTGTGTGGGCCAAGATTCCCAACTGTCCTTGGTGGCCAGCGGAGGTAAGTTCCTTCTGTGAGGATGACATTCACTATCTTTGTTCAAACAAGAAAATCCCCATTCATAATAATTGTAGTTAGATTGCACTTAAGTTCAGAGATATGTTTAATTTCTATTGGTTGGTGGTGCAGCGATAGCGCTGGTATTGGATGCCTGGGGCCCCAAATTATCAGTGCTGGGAATCAACAGGACTCAAAAATAGAGACATTTCAGTAAATTCGTGAAACATTTTATTAACCCCCACTACAAAGTGTTTGTGGGAAGGGAAGATAGGAATGGGTGGTGTCCGTTTTCTGTCTGTGGATCTGTTCATCTGTACTTCCGTCTGGGACGATTCCGCTTCTGAAACAGTTTAATATTTTATTACGAAACTTGTCATATGTTTCAAACACATGCTGAACTAGTGCCTTTGGTATTGTTCTGGTGTTTCTAAAAATATAATTTTGGTGTTTCCATGGCAACAAACAGGACTTAGACACAAATACATGTAGCGTTCGTTTCTGGAGCATAACACAGACACCGTTTGATATTGTATTGTATAACTTTTGCATATGTATAAATCACTTGCTGAACCGGTGCCTTTTGATCTTTTGGTATTTCTGAAAAAATATTGTGTTATGATGTTCATTTCTGGATCATATTTCCATAATTTGTTTCATATATTATCCGTGAAACTTTTTACCCATATTAACAGTACTGAAATTGTCATGCTATTTGGTATTTTCTACTAAAAGATCTACACAGGGTTGTCTGAGAACCATTACACTAATTACCTAAATGAGATGTATAACACTTGACAAAGGAACTGTACAAAGTATATGGTGTATGGTGAAAAAACAACCCACAAACCGCAATTTACAAGTGGCACCCGAACCAGCCTACTTCCTTACATATTGATTTCGGGGGCACGGGTGGCCCCGTCGTCCAAGGCACCACGATTAGCTGTGCAGAGTTGCGTCCCTTGGGCACACCAGAAACCTATGACTGTGGGTTCAATTCCCAGTTTGCCTCGATTATGTTTCTAGGTTTGTCAGCACCATACCCGTGCTCGTGGGTTTCACCGAAGTGGTAAACGTCTGAGACCTGCATCACTTCGGGCTTTCCACCCACAAAGCTGACACACCTTGATATAACTGTAATACTGTTAAAAGCGGCCTAACTCACTCACTCACACTCACAGTGGGTTTAATAGTTTTTGTTGTGCTTGCAATAAGGCCATTCACAAAAAGTTCCACTGATGGTATAATGTTTTTGTTCTAGAGTTACTCTCCCTTTCTTCATTTATATTACTAATACTATATTAATGACAAAATCTAATGAGCTCCATGGCTGAGGATAATGATAGCACTGTTTTCTTGTTTAAAGTTAAAAGAAATAATAGTCTTGGTTCCCACCCACATCATCATAAAGTCCACTGCACGTTTTGTTTTTATTTCCATTTTTCCCCAAAAAATAAAAAATTCCTATTACAAAAACAATGCGATCCAATATGGCACTCAGTTGCTTGTTACTTCCCTTTACATGCGCACTGCTTTACTGGGCATCTCGTGTTATGGTCATGGCAGCAATAGGACTTTGTGTGCTTGTTTATGTAGGGAGTCCCTATCCTAGGTTGATGGTACACAACTGTTTTGGCTACATACTATTTTGAACAAGCAAAAAGAAAAGAAAAAACACTGCCGCCCGCACTATATTTTCAAAAGTCATTGCCTGAGAACCAATACTTGTATATTTTAAAGCCTAAGTTAATGTTACATTATAGACATTGTTAGGGAATCTGCAGATCACTTGACCACTGGACTGGTGTGAGTGACGGATGAAGTGCCCAACTTATGACAGTGACTGTAAGATGAATTGGCTGTTCCTATCTGCAATATGGTTTCAATTCCTGATGAATTATGTTTGAATAATTTGATGGCATTTACATGATTCATTCATATTGTAATGTTCCAATGATGACTATTCCTAAATGTGTATCTCTTTCAGGTGATTGAAGAAGATAACTGCCCTTTCCCTCTTCCAGAATTTCGGAAAAAGAAAACTGTGATAGCGGTCATCAAGTTCCTCGATGAGGATTGCTTGTATGTAGACATGGTTGATTATTTTACCTATTGCTCATGTTATCATGTATTCTTAGAGTTCACTTTCCCCTCATATTAACATCATTAAGCAAACCATTGTGATATATCTGCTGGAACAGAATTATTACTTATTATTCATGTGTTGGGAAGAAAAACAATTTTTTTTACCTTGTCCTGACTCATACAATTTTGCTTATGTCTACTTATTCCTGATACGTAGTGGAAACGTCTTGTGCAGTGTTACCAGCGAACATAAAACATCTCACCCAAATGCAGCCTTCTCATGCACAAACGCACCGGAAACCACTATGATCAAGCAAACTGACTCTTCATCATCCCAGCTATTTGGTTGGGAATTTTCTTGTGCCTTTATAATCCAAACCATCCTTGTTCAACTTGGCTTTTTTGCCTAACTGTTTTGTTCAGATATTCTTTGTGAAACATTCCTTCATCATATTCAATGATTATTTTTGAATTTTGGTTTTGCTCTTTTGGTTCTTTGAATTTTCCCCTTGTTTTTATAACGAAAACGTGTACCGAGTGTCATCTGTGTTTCTACAGTTGTGATCCCCACCCCATTTGCTCTACCTGCATGATACACCACTGTACGTCAGACGATAAATGACACTTCTGCTCCACTTTGGCTTGGGAAGAATTCGCTGAATATCTGAATATATCTATGTCATCGAGAGAAAGAAGATCAACAGAGAGACTCTTCATAATATGATTTATAGACAGAGACCTTCTCTAAGAAGAAAATGAAAAAATGGGATTTGACATTGAAGATGAAATTGAGATTGATCTTCCCTCGTCGCAGACAGCCCCCGTTGTCTCAGCTGAGACTTCTTATGTTGGCACTAGGAGTGTCAACTTTCTACACCTGCGTGCAGTCTACTACAACCACAGCTTTCTCTGAAGTCACGTTGGTCTTCCACAGCCTCTATCCCCAATGCTTCCGACCTCCGCCAAAGACGAGGACACCTTGAACCTGACCATAATGAGAAATCACCTCAGTCTGAAGATTTTTCCATCATTCTATGAGGATCATGAGATGTTGGCATGGGTTGCTGATGGCCTCCCCATTTCATCACTCTCCAGAGATACTCCTACTAGTGAGTCCTACTTCATCAACGGAGATGATATCAACACCTTGACCATTTTTCTGATCTAGCAAATCTCACTGATCTCTGCTTTTGCGAAGGCCACCTGTCCCCATGGTTTGTAAAACAAATGATAAAACAGGAAGATTATCTGGCAAAAATTGATCTTCAAGATGCAAGCCTTCATATTCCAGTTTATTCAGCCACCTGGAAATATCAGCACTCCCTCAACAAGGGCCAACATTACCAATAGGGAGTCCTGCCCTTTGGAATTTAGACGTCCCCATGGTTAATTACATGGGTGACCAAATCATACGTAGCCTTTCTTCATAAGAGGATCTGTTGCGCTTTTTCCCTGGATGATGGGATTGAAGCTCATCAACAAGCAGAGCTACTGGCTTCAACTGAATTTCAGTCTGAAACTACTAACACAGTTAGGATGGTTAGTCAATTACAAGAAGTCTGATCTCCAACCACCCTATGATCTCAAGTTTCTGACAGGGCAGAACCTTATTCAAGTTCCAGAAGGTCATTGGATAAAAATCCAAAGTCATCTTCCAGCAGCAATTCCCAAACGAATATCAGTCAACCAGTGGCAGGTGACCCTAGGTCTACTCACTTCTGCCCCAGCCTTGACAGTATGGGGCAGACTTCACCTGTGTCCCTTACAAAGATTCCTCAAACCATTCCTAGATCAACAAGAACTAAAACTTTGACTTCCACAACACCTGAAGAAACAAGTTGACAGTTTGCGGAGGAACCTACTTGAATGAGCCTGAATACAATAAACATCTATTTGTAGACGCCTCACTCCAAGGATGGGGTGACTCCTCACCTCGGAAGTCACGTCGGGGCTGTGGTCTGCAAAAGAAAAGCTCTTCCACGTCAACCATCTGGAGTTCGAAGCAGTAATCTTGGCAATATGTCATTGGGCTCCACAGTTGAGAGGCAGGAATCTGATGATAAGAACAGACAACTCAGCTGTCAACATGGTCGGCAACCCTTCTGAGGTTAACATTTCAGCTGTACAAGTTAACAGACAGCCTCAATCTAAAAGTCAAAGCAAGGCACATCTCTGTAGTATCCAATGTCTTTGCTGACACCCTGTCCAAACCATCACTACCGTCGCCAACAGAATGATGCTCCATCCAGAAGCAATTCAACTGGCAACAAGGGAAGGAAGTTTTCCATTGCCGGACCTATTTGCAACCAGGTTCAACAAACAGATAGCAACCTTCAAATCCTCAGTACCAGACCCTCTAGCTCTGCCCAACGATGGGCTGGCAATATCATGGGAGGGGCTTCATGCTTAGGGGCCGTCCATTTCATATGCTAGTGGAGGGTACTTGTATTTTATTGAAGAGATAAAATTTGTTCCCAAAAATTCTTGAAAATAATTATTATGCTCATAATGTTGGGAAAAATAAATTGTCTGCCACAAAAATTACATTGTTGCAATGTGTTTATATGAAAAAATGTTTTGGCTCATAGTTTTAATTTGAAAATATCTGGTTTTGCAGCTGTAAAATTATCTGGTCGCCATACAAAATCCCGGGATATCAAATGGTATGCATTCCCACCACCAGCTCTGTTACAACAGGTTTTACAGAAGATCATTCAAACGAAGAACTTTCTATTGCTTTTTGTTGCACCTTATTGGCCAGTGAGAACAGAGTTCCCAGACCTTGTAATAGCATGAAAACCAACACTGAAGGTCCTGAACTGGCCAAATCTGCTTCTTCATTCACACTCAAAACAAGTTCATCCATGACCGGAACTCAACGAGTTTCATGTATGGAGCATATTACATATCACAGGATGAGGTTTCTCTCCAGGGCAGCTTAGGCAGTCTCCTTGGCCCTTCGCAGATCCACAAGGAACTTGTACAACGATAAGTGGAAGAAATTTGACCAATTCGCAAGAACAAAAGAGTTCACAGGAGCAAAGCTACCTGACCCCAGGTGACAGATTTCTTGTGTCATCATACGGGTTCAACCTAAGGGACTTATTTGGCAACAATCAGCTCTGTGTTAACTATGGCTAACGGAGAACAACTCAGTAAGGCTCCTGAACTGATAGCCCTACTGAGATCCTACTAAGTTGATAACTTCGAACATTTGACACAAAAGCAGCACTTAGCAGCCAGAATGTCAGAACTCCATGCAATCGCCTTCCTGGTACCAGGTTTGACAGCGGTGAACACGCATCTGCTTGTAGTTGGGGTAATGAAGTCTGCACTGAACCAACCCCTTTGTGTGTATCACATGTTTAGGCGCAGTGGGGTAGCCGAGTGGTTAAAGCATACGTCTTCACACCGAAGACCCAGGTTTGATTTCCCACATGGGTACATTGTATGAACCATTTCTGGTGTCCTTGCAGCGATATTGCTGGAATATTGCTAAGCGCTGCATAAAGCCATACTCACTCACTCACTTACCCATTCACTCACTCACTCACTCACTCACTCACTCACTCACTCACTCACTGTATCACATGTTTGTAGAAGTTGAAATCATGTCATGTGAATGGCTGGAATTGAGAGTGCATATAACTTCTTATTAAGGTAGTTTCATGGGACTTTCTGTATTTTGCTTACGGCATATTTTTTTCAAAACCGAAATTGATGTCATTAAACTGTAAGTACTTATCTTGGGGTAGATAGAGGCACAGGACTAATTCTCTTTCTGATTAAATCCTCCTTGGGGCACTTATTGCATTTTCCTTGCTCAAGAAAATCTATATGACATAGTTGTAACCATTTTCCTTAATAAAAAATGTTACCACACAAAAAACTTCGTTTTTGTATGATATACGACCACCCTTACGGGGCCTCACCCCCAACAGCGCCTCACGCCAGGGGGAGCAACTCTCACCCAAATCACTTTCCTTATGTCATCTGTAAGAGACAGACGTGTTGATTTTTCACACAAGACAAAAATAAGAGAAATCTATCGTTCGACAAGAACCATGGCTGACCAAACTGTATGTATGGTACATTTCTTTCTTTGCCAAGGCGTAATACCTCGCATTGTGAAGTTATAGAGTTGTAATAATACGCCACGTGCACGGTACCTTTGAATTCAAATGGCCGTAATGGCGTCCATATTGTAGTTCCACGGGCTGATACATGTAACACCAAGGCCATTAAGAACGCTGCCGAATATGTCTGGCGGAGGACATTGCCTTTACCCCCCGGGGCCCCCAAAAGAGACAAGTTGACTTGTTCCACTTTAAAGAGGTCTATTAAAGGCGGGGGTAGATATCAGATCTACTAAGACATCCCCCCCCCTCCCCATCTAAAAAGGGTAAAAAAGCTGCCGAGATTGTCTCCCCTGCTCCCTCTCCGGGGGCCGGGGGAGAAGGCTCGAGGGTCCCCGTAGTAAGCACTGCACCCTCTCCTGCACTGTCTTTGGCAGACTTTTCTGCGTTACTTAAGTCGCAGATGGCGTCGATGATGGAGGAGGTAAAGTCTCAGCTCCGAGAGGAGATGCGGACCGAGCCTTCCCCGTTGTCGGCGCCGGACGCGGCTTCGAGACCTTGTGATATGCCCGGCGTCAGCCGAGGCAGTCAACTTGGTCTCGGGGACGATCTCAGACCGGGCTTCGGCGCCGGCTCGAGGTCGCTCCCCAGCGGAGGGGTGGCGGGCGCCGGCCCGTGCACTACCGACGCACAATTTTTCCCTAGCGGAGCCAGACGCCTCTTCCGAGGCCGAGGCTTTCACTAGTGGATTCGTAGCCCGGAGCCAGGGGGGTTCCCTTGGTCTCGGGGACGATCCGAGACCGAGCTCCGGCTCGAGGTCGCTCCCCAGCGTAGTGGTGGCGGGCACCGGCCCGTGCACTACCGACGCACAATTTTCCCTAGCGGAGCCAGACGCCTCTTCCGAGGCCGAGGCGTCCACTAGTGGATACCTAGCCCGGAGCCAGGTTGGTTCCCTTTGTCTCGGGGACGATCCGAGACCGAGCTTCGGCTCCGGCTCGAGGTCGCTCCCCAGCGTAGTGGTGGCGGGCACCGGCCCGTGCACTACCGACGCACAATTTACCCTAGCGGAGCCAGACGCCTCTTCCGAGGCCAAGGCTTTCACTAGTGGATACCTAGCCCAGTGCCAGGTGGGTTCCCTTGAACCTCCGGCACCTCGGCACCGGGACTCGGCCTCGGGCCGGGTGCAGAGACACGTGCGGGACAGGATTGTCCATGTACTGCCTCAGGTTGCTGCGCCCATGCCAGAGTCGGAGACACCCAACTTGACTAAGGTCAAGCAGGGCCGGCGGTTGCCCCCCCTTTCCCGTGTGCGGTGCGGAGTTGAAGGCTGCTTACATATGCTTCGAGGAGCAATATCATAATGCATGCCAACAGCTCCGTGTGTCCGTACACTCCGCGTATCTGTCGGCTGTACAGAGGGAGTTAGCGGGAGAGGGGCCGGCCGACTCTTCGGAGTTGGCCGCGCAACTAACATTATCTTGCGCGGGACGCTATTCGTAGCTGTGCATCGCAGATGATGTGCGCTGTTATGTGCATGCGCAGGCGGTGGATGTCGGTATCTAAATACTCGACTTACACACGCCAAGACCTACTTGCTTTGCCGTATAAGAGGGTGCCACCCTCTTCCCTGGGGCTCAGCAGGCGGTCCGAGAGGCTGCTCAATTGTATACTTCCATCAAAGACTCATAAGGCCTTGTTGGAGGTACCAAGCGTTAAAACCGCGTAAGCGGGCCTCTCCAATTGTCCCCTCCTACGCTAACGCACGGGTCAGACGTCCACACCTGCTTGGAAGCCGCCGCTTCCTTCAGGTATAAGGGCGCCGTGAGGAGCAAGAGAGGCACGGGCCGGGGCAAGGCAGCTGGTCGAGGCCAACAGCTTTTTCGCGGGGCTGGGAACGATGGGTTCCCATTAGCGCCCGAAGAGCCCCGGGTGAACCCATAGTGGCAAGTTATCGGGAAAACTCATCCGCTCCTCCACTTTTCCGGGATAAAGCACACACCGGTGCCTGCTACCCGAGAGAAGGCGGAATTCCTCCGTGCCGAGGTCGACGCACTTCTTATGAAAGCTGCGATCGAACCGGGTCCCGAGGGACAGGAAAGCGAGGGCTTCTACTCGACTTGTTTCCTAGTCACCAAACAGTGATCTCAACTGTCGAGACAGGAGAATGGCTAACGTCAATAGACTTAAAATACGCCTATCTCCACATACCAATACATCCAGAGTTCAAGAAATACCTGAGGTTTTCTTTCGACGGGAGGTGTTATCAGTTCAGGGTTCTACCATTCGGGATCTCCACGGCCCCGAGGGTGTTCACCAAGCTGATGTTGATTCCCGCCCAAGTGGCCAGGTCAAAAGGTCGGTTCTGCCATCCGTACCTCGACGACTAGGTTACTAAGAGCTCTATTGCAATCCCTGAGTCAGATAGCTACACAACAAGTGATAGATATTCTGATCACTCTAGGGTGGATGGTCAATCTCAAGAAGTCAGATCTGAGCCCCACTCAGAATCTAGTCTTCCTAGTGGCTAATTTCAACACGGTGAGAGGACGTGTATCTCTGTCACAAGATATCAAGTCCCTTAAGCGCAAGTCACACTGCTCGTACATGGCTCCAGTTACTGGACAACATGGCGGCGACAGTGGATTTGGTCTGGCGGGCGCGCTTGAGAATGAGTCCCATTCAACAAGCACTCCGTCGACTTTGGGCGAACTCGGAAGATCTCGAGACTGTGCTCGAGACTCCGTAGTGGCTCATTACACACCTCCAGTGGTGGACCGAGGTCGGGAATCACTCCCGTTCCGTCTCTCACAGTTCAAACAGCGCGTCACTCTCCGGCTGGGGAGGCGTTCTGAATGATCACACTGCCTCGGGACTATGGTCCCAGCAGGAGATCAAACTGCATATCAATGTGCTAGAACTGAGAGCGGTCAGGTTGGTGTTCCAACGCTTCCCGGATCTGCTTCGTGGCCAAGTGGTTCGTCTAGAGATGGACAACCAAACGGCAATGACTTACATCCGGAAGCAGGGGGGAACGGCGTCTCCGTCGCTTCGACGAAAGACGTGGCAGTTCCTACTATAGTGCGACTCTCACGATATCAGGGTGCTACCTGTTTATCTCCCGGGGGTGGACAACGTCCGTGCGGACGCTCTGTCTTGCCGGATCCTCGCTCCTCACGAGTGGAGGCTCGACCCGGGGATATTCGGGATTTTCTCCCTGTTATACAGGTCGTTACAGGTGGATCTGTTTGCGTCTGGGTTAAATAACCAGACACCAACGTTCTGCTCCCGAGTCCACGACCCGAGGTCGGTGGCACCGGACGCCTTTCAGCTAGATTGGACGGACAGTTCTGTGGGCATTCTCCCCAGTACCTCTGATTTCCAAGGTCCTGTCTCAGCTAGGCACTCAGCCTGCGCGACTAATTGTGCTCCTGGCACCTCTTTAGTCGGCGCAGAGTGGGTTTCCAGTAATACTCAGGTTTCTGGCTCAGCCTCCTGTTATATTACCTTTACGACCGGACCTCCTATCCCAGAACGGGGCCCTCCACCCGAATCTCAGGATTCAATGGGTGGCTTGGCCACTGTCAGGAATCGCCTCCAGAAGAGCGGTATTCCTGCACGAGTTGCAGACACAATACTGGCTTCGCGGAGGGATTCGACAAACGTTCAGTACGATAGATAGGCCTGCTATGCGCCCAGGTGTGTCGATAGAGGGATTGCAGATCTTTTTTCTGCAGATCTCGTATCCGTGCTTGAGTTTCTCCAGTCGCGACTAGATGACGGCCTGGCCGCATCAACAGTCCGAGGGTACTCTACAGCTATCGCAGCTTTTCACGTCCCTGTCGACGGGGCACTTCTGGGTGCACACCCATTAGTGCAGCGCTTTTTAGCAGGTGTGGACAGGATCCGACCGCCAGTCCGGCGGATCAGTCCCCCTTGGGACTTGTCAATCATTCTAGATTGGCTGTCCGGTCCTTCCTTTCGGGATCTGTCGTCTCTCTCTCTTCAGCTGTTGAGCTGGGAGACGGCGTTCCTTGTGGTGGTAACGTCCGGCAGACGGGTAGGCGACATTTGTGTTATGTCAGCCGATCCCAAAATAACTGTCTTCCATGGGGTCGATAAATATCACCGGGACAGTCAGTTTTCGTCTACCGGACTATTACCGTCCTAGGGTCGCACACGATTCCACGTGAACGGCTCATATTGAGCTACCCGCTCTGTCACAGCCTTCCTCGTCGGGGACCACTGCAAGACATGCTCATGTCTTGGATGTCCGCACGACTCTCAAGGCCTATATCAGCAGAAATATGGGTGTCCGTAAGGATAACCAACTATTTTGCTGTTACTGCGGTAGGAAGGTTGGCTCACCTGCGAGTCAACAATCTATCTCGAGGTGGATAGTTTCAAACATTTGTACAGCGTATACGCTTACAGGCAGGGACCCCCCTACCAGGTTGAAGGCTCATTAGGTTAGAGCAGTGGCTGCGTCAAAAGCGTACGCCGCGGCTCTGCCCATTGAGCAGATCTGCTCCGCGGCTATTTGGAGCCAGCCGAGCACGATTCATCAAACCTTACCAACTCGACAAACACTCAAGCGAGCGTACTCGGTTTGGTCAGTCAGTTCTCCGAACTGGGCAAAGTTCTAATCTCTAGCTGATTGAGCATTCGAGATTTTAGACAGTCTTCCGGTTATACTGCTCAGTAATGGTCCGGATTTTATCTTCTGCGGTCGATAAATATCAGTCCTTACTACTCGATAATACTCGTATTTTGCGCACGCACTCCTTCGATCCTCGGGGACCCTCTGGTCTAGCTCAGCGCTGGTTATGGTCTCTCGTGATCTACGCCCTTATATCACTTGTTCAAAAAAGTGGGGGGGGGTGGGAGGTGTTTCGAGTTCTCAACTTATGACAAGCCGCAAAAACAGGCTTTATCATAATATATGGTCGACCACGCCCTGTCTCTAGCCCCCGCCTTTCGACGGTGGTGCCTCACGATAAGGTTGGTTCCATTTATTGAACTCAATATTTTATTCTGTTGAATAATCAAATACGATGTATTTATTTACGCCTGTTGCTGACGGATGCCACTTCCTAGATTATCTTTGGGAGTCTGTCTTGATGCAATAAGTGCCCCAAGGAGGATTTAATCAGAAAGAGAATTTTACAAACCTGTAGAGGTTATGAATTCTCTGATGAAATCCTCCTTGGGGCACGGCCACCCACCTCCCCACATTCCGTCAGCATTTGACATATGGAAAGTGATTTGGGTGAGAGTTGCTCCCCCTGGCGTGAGGCGCCGTTGGGGGTGAGGCCCCGTAAGGGTGGTCGTATATCATACAAAAACGAAGTTTTTTGTGTGGTAACATTTTTTATTAAGGAAAATGGTTACAACTATGTCATATAGATTTTCTTGAGCAAGGAAAATGCAATAAGTGCCCCAAGGAGGATTTCATCAGAGAATTCATAACCTCTACAGGTTTGTAAAAGTTGTACTGCATTTGACAGCATTAGGGATCAAATATAAAAATAGGCAGATATTGATGAAGTCAGCTGTCACTTGATTTGGAATGTTTTAGCTAGAAAAGTTTTGGGGCTTTCAGGAAAGGCGGGTATGGGGCTGCTTCTGTTCTTGCATGTAATGCAAACCCCTTTCTAGTTCATCCAATAAGGTGAGCTTCTGTACCTCTGGGTGGAAGTCAATGCCAGAACTACTTGGCATATTTAGGTGGAGATAAATAGAATCAGGCAATTTTTAATAAGTCGTAATCAGATGAAGTTGTGTGATGAAGTCAGGAATGTGACCGATCAAATTATATTTCTATGTTTGATCATGTGGATAGTAATCAATGATTGTATGTTTCAGTTACTGCATCAATTCTGTGGACCATATCAAGCCCTTGCTATGCCCACGCTATGAGGAATATATACTTAAAGGTACATACACTCACATTGTAATTAATTAACCTGTCAATATTTAAGTTAGTGATATTGGGTAGTGGATGCAAGTGATGCAGAAATTACTTTGGTTGTAGCAACCACACCACTACTAAAGGAAGTATTTATGGCATGTATGAAAAGGTACTACTTTCTGACTGCTGACTGGTTGACTGTTACAGATACTGATATTAGGCAATTTATGCTTCAAAACTCTGAGATTTGTTCCTAGATATACAGTCTAACACTGCTGGCTCGAAGTTGTAGGGACCTACGTGAATACTTCGAGTTATGTGAGGTTTGACAGAACCGAAAATGATGAATAAAGAAGGAATACTCAGGAATCAAACTTTTACTTCGACACAACTGTACTTTCGACAGATCAAAGTTCAACACAACAGTGTTTGACTTTATAAGGTGCTGCAATTTGCTGTGCAGAGTTTAGTTCCTTTGTCATGCCAGGAACATAGACATATGTCCGAATGTTGGTACACCCTGATTATATTTCCAGGTTTGTCAGCACCATACCTGTGTTTGTTGGTTTCACCAAAGTGGTCAACATCTGAAACCTGGATCCCTTGGGGTTTCCTCCCACATGACACTGACACGCCGGATGTAACTGGAATACTGTTCAAAGCGGCGTTAAACCCAACTCACTCACTCACTTTCACTCGCTCAACTAGCTGATTTGTTTATTTTAGGAGAGAAAGAAAAGAGAGAGAGTCTAAGGGTAAAGTTTGGTCCAGCAGTGAGGTTGGGCCTTCAAAGGGTGGGGGTTGTCTCCCCTACCCAGGGGGAGACAACTAGAAGTGACCAGTGCCAGATGCTCTCACATCATACAGAAAATAGGCAGGAGACTGACAACACTGAACACAACCTGTGTACACAACAGGAGCATGTAGATGTCAAGTGCCCAGAGACAGAACACAGTGATCCTGAGAACAATAACACAGAACCGGAAGAGCACCAGACCATTGGTGCAGATGAGCAGTGCAGGGAGACAGAGCCCACAGAACTTCCGAGAGGGTCCCGAGTGAGACGGCAGGTTCAGAAGTTTGTCGCACGACATCCTGATCCTCTTCCTAGAGTCAAGAAGGGACAAAAAAGACGTACCGTGTCCACAGGCTCTGTGCCATCAAGTCGACGGAAAATTCGAAATTGTAGCATTGATGCAAACTCACCAACTATACCATATCCTTCGCAAAGAATTGTTGCTATTGAAACTGCGAAGTCAAGTCTTGTGGCTCGGCTAGATGTACAAAACTCCCTGGGTGTGGCAGTAAAAAGATCTCTTGAAAGTGAGTATTCATCTACAGCTTCAGTGAACAGCACTCCTGACCAGTCAGTCTCAGGCTGGTCAGTGGGGACTCAGTGTAACCTGTCAGAGAGGCTGCTGGTGCCAGACACAATGACCCCAGCTGGACATGGGACTGGGGATGAGATGGAGGATGAGGAAAATGGCAGTCAAGATGACAACAGGGCTTTCGTGTTCCCTCGCAACAGTTCAAGGTAAGTCACGAATTTGAGGGGTTTTGAAAAGCCCCTTGAGAATATCAGATAGAATAGGGGTCCAATAGCTGCATGCTTGTCATGAAAGCTGACGAATCAGGATTGGAAGGTTCCATTGCCCCAACATCAAGTGTTGTTGCTTATCCTGTCATCTCTGGCTTACCTGGCCATTGGTGAATTATATAGATGGAGCCTAAAACAACATTCACTCAGTTTGTATAATAATCATTCCCTGAGGGTATTTGTTTGAACATTTTGAAGTCACGTGATTCTGTGTTAAAACCTAGGATGTTGTCATTGAAGATATCTTTTTCAAACTGGGGGCACGCCAGAAACCTATGATTGTGGGTTCGAATCCCGGTTCCCCCCGATTATGTTTCTAGGTTTGTCAGCACCATACCCGTGCTCGTGGGTTTCACTGAAGTGGTAAACGTCTGAGACCTGCATCATTTCCGGCTTTTCTCCCACATTAAGCTGACACGTCGCGATATAACTGTAATGCTGTTAAAAGCGGCGTTAAACCCAACTCACTCACTCACTCTTTTAATTGATATTAAATATATTATGATTGAATGTGATAAGCCAATGTTTGATAAGAGGAAGACACCATGAGTTAAATCTGATTACTTCATACCTCATTTTGTACCAATAGATTCTGAAAAATTTTGAGAGAAAAGGGGTTTTGCTCCCATGATGATATTTATACTAGTCATAGGAGCAGTTGTCAAGCATATCCTGTTGACAATGCTTATTGTTACAGTGTGTCTACATATGACTCCAATCTTGACACCGAATCCTCAGAATCAGATGATGAGCTTCCTGAGGGATTGTCCCCATCAATTGTTGGTAGGTTTTGTTTGTTGTTTAACGCCACACTCAGCGATATTCCAGCTATATGATGGTGGTCTGTAAGTAATCAAGTCTGGCCCAGACAATCCAGTGATTGACATCATGAGCATCAATATGCATGTGAGGCAGGTCTTGAGTATTATCGTACAAGTGGTGTGTGCTCTTCAGACATACACCTTGAAAGGTTTCTTCATATTTGTATAACAGATGGTCAGGATCTGTGACTTTGCTGATTGTTTGTCATTGTGCCCTGAATGATGGTCATATTTTCAGTCACTGGTTTGTCTAGTCCAGACTTGAAAATCGACAGGCCACTGTGATATTGCAGGAATATTGCTGACTGCAATTTTTGTTATTTCAACTGAAGGTACCTAGCGCTACGTTGAAAACACAGTCTTTTTATCTTCTTCGTTATAGCCACTTCCTGGTCTGGTCTTCTTTTCATTATGTGGAATGGAACTTTGATTATTTAAGACAATGTTTCATGTCAGGATGTCAGTCGATGCCAAATATTTTGAGATTATTATTATTTTCAAACCAGTTTTCACTATTGGCATCATGACAAAAGAAAATCTGTTGGGTTTTTTTTCTACCCAGGTTTCGACTTTTAATGTCGGCTGACCCTTAATTATGTCAAACATAGTAGAAAATAAGATATTTACTGTATCTCTTCAATTGTAACAGACACATCGTCCCTACCCACAGTGAGAGACGTGGTGTGGGTCAAGTACAGGCAGTGCCCCTTCTGGCCGGCAGTGGTGAGTACATTACAGTGTCCAGGGCCGTGCTCAACTGAATCAGATCCTGGCTGACATGGCTTTACAGCAACTCTGCTATTTGTATGTACATTGTCTGAGTTTCATGAAATCGGGCAATGGCATGAAATATACATTTGTAGTGCTATTTGGTGATTACTGCCTACTGTTTTAATATGTCAGTTGTGATACAATGTGATTGTATTGCAGTTTTGATACATCTATTGCAATGATATGCATTAGTTAAATGTCTGCTTTTATCGTCCTCGCCACAATGAATATTTCCTTGCATTATCTGACATGTGCACGGGGCCTGCGCCACCTCCAAGTCCAAGTCCTAGATTCAATTGTTTGTTGGAGTTAGGGAGTTGAGGGAGGCATCTCTGATTATTGACTGACATAAATATATGAAGATGTTTGTTTTATTTTGTTCTAATGAAGGAAAACAAAGCTGAAAGTTTTCACTATTCCGATTTGTACATATTAATGTTCATATTGTTAACACTGATACATGGAGCCAAAATCTTAGATCTGTATATCTTTTCTTCCGGTTTATAGACTAAATACAATTTAGAAAATGATGCTTTTTACTGTAAGTTATACCTAGAAGAAGAAAACGAAAACAATTGACTGCATTTTATCAGCATATCATCGGACAGTTGCCAGAACAAATGGCGAGGTGAAACTGAGCATTACTTCTCTTGTTCTATTCTGTTCACTGTTCCTCATAATCTCTATAGCAAACCTTCCTTCATCTCCGCCCAATCTTATAAGGCGCTGCAATTCGCTGTGCAGAGTTGCATCCCTTGGGCACGCCAGAAACCTGTGATTCTGGGTTCGGATCTCGGTTGGCCTGATTATGTTTCTAGGTTTGTCAGCACCATACCCCTGCGTGTGGGTATTACCAAAGTGGTAAACGTCTGAGACCTGCATCACTTCAGGCTTTCCTCTCACATGAAGCTGACATGCTGTGGTATAACCCAATTCACTCACTCACTCTCTCCAAACACATCAGTGTATAATGTGAACACTTTGCTGAAAAGTCACTTGTCACTTAACGCTCAGGGCCATGCAACTCTAGTGATGGGAGTAATCAGAATATAATTGTACCTCTCTTGATCCAAATGACAACAGCCATTGGACCAGACCCTTTAACTGTTCTCTCATCACGTGAAGCTAGGCATCATTGGTCGTGTAGGGTAGGTGGATGGGTGACTGGTGTCAGCTTGACTCCTGATAGTTTCTAGGGTTGGGGTTCAGTCCTAGCCACCACTGTAACACATGTTGTTGTTGTTTGTTGTTTGTTATTTGTTGTTTAACGCCGAACTCAGCAATATTCCAGCTATATGACAGCGGTCTGTAAATTATCGAGTCTTGACCAGACAATCCAGTGATTGACATCATAAGCATCGATCCATGCAAATAGACACGATGCCATGCATCATCCAAGTCAGCGAGCCTGACCGACCGATCCCTTTAGTCGCCTTTTACAGCAAGCATGGGTTGCTGAAGACCTACTCTACCCCAGATCTTCACGGGTCCTGTAACACATGTAACATGTGGTGTCTCCTTAGGCAGGTGACTTTGTTCGAAATATGCCTCTGTTCTCCCAGCAGTGAATGGGTAAGTGGTGGGATGAGATCATAATGTTAACTTTCCAGCATCTATCAGGTAGCTTGGGTTGTATTCTCCTCAGGAAGCTGAAAATGTCATTGGCAAGAATACTGATCCATTGAACGGGATAATAATGGTGTAGCACTTTCAGCACAGCAGTGTGTGGAATCTAGCCCATTATAAATATACTTATTATGATTTATCCCTTATGAAAAATGGAAACATGATCGTTACTTTAGTAGTACTTTAGTAGCAATTAGAGAAAAGAGATGACGACATTTGTGATTTTGTTTATGTAAAGGTGAGAAGGATCCAGGACAGTAAAGGGAAGAAAGGTCCAAAGAAAATCCAGGTCCAGTTTCTCGGGAACACGGGTCACTTCCGAGAAAAGTAAGTCTCTTTGACACTTGTGTAACAAGGTATTCATTTCTGTGTTTCTAATCATGCTGGTATTAATATTCCACACAACTGGGACAGTCAAACCTGATGATTAGAACAGGCTGTTGTAATGGCGGAATCGTGAGAACCTGTTGAGTCTACTTCCTGAATCAACAGATTCGAGTGATTTTTAATTTTTAATCATGTTATGGTTGATATATAATTTCTCTATAATTTGGCGGGGCGGTCGGGTAGCCTTGTGGTTAAAGCGTTCGCTCGTCATGCCGAAGACCCGGGTTCGATTCCCGACATGGGTACAATGTGTGAAGCCCATTTAAGGTGTCCCCCGCCGTGATATTGCTGGAATATTGCTAAAAGCGGCGTTAAACCATACTCACTCACTCACTCTATAATTTGGCCTAGTTGTGTCAATTTTTAGACATTCAAAATGGCCAGTGAATTCCTTGTTCAGAATGAACTGCAAAACCAATTGCTTGACATCATCATAATGGTGTAATTAAGGGATAAATGAGTTCAGATTTTATGTATTTGCACGAGTTTTTCAACCATTAACTAGCCAAGAATTAATGCAACTGTCTTAGACACATCTTCTGATTACCAAAGCATTGTTTTGAGACTTAATACCAAACTGTCCGAATTAAAGACTTATGTACTTATACAACAGAATGTGCATGTAATATACAGTGGAATCTGCCTATACAGTGGAATCTGCCTAAACCAGACTTGCACTGGGTCAAGAGTTTAGTGAAGTTTAGGGAGCAGTCTAGATTAGACAGAAATCATATTGTAGCAAGAGTAAAGCAATATTCCAGTTGTTCGACAGCAGCCTGTAAATAATTGAGTTTGGGCCAGACAATCTAGTGGTTGATATAAATGAAACATCTTAAACAGTCATGGTACAATGACACGCCATCAACAAGGTCACTGAGTCTAACCACCCAATCCATTAAGTCACCTCCAACGAACAGAGGTTCCACAGAACCAGAATCTGCACAGTGCTATGAACACTCAAGATTGAAGACATGTGTACATGTACCATAATATATTTCATGAAATATTGGTGGACATTTGTCTGTTGAAGTCATCAACCATTGCTATGTCCGCTCCAGAAGTTTCACTGTTCCTTTCACACTGGGAAATCAACCATTCAGTAGATGCTTTGAAAAAAATGGCAATCCCGAATTCTAAAGTATATTGAAGTGCTACGTTGTTCACACATTGTTGGGGGATCAGAACAAGTTACTGGAAGTGTGATGAGATGTGTGAAAATTTGGTCCAAATTAGGGAGCATCAATTATGTCATAAATTGGTCCTTACCCAATGTCAGTCAGGATTTTTTCCTGTGATGACAGATTCCACTGTTTCTAATTTACATGTCTCTTTACAGTTTCTATGTGACATATAGGAGGGACCGTGTGTTCCCACTGGACCATGTAAAAAGGAAGGAATTTGAGGTTTGTGTTATATGTTCAAAGGTTCTCCACATCTATGATCAGTGATAAGACTGTATGGTGAGATATTTCTAGGATACATTGCTCTGCCCCCATGGCAGACTGTATGGTGATATATTTCTAGGATACATTGCTCTGCCCCCATGGCAGACTGTATGGTGAGTTCTAATATTTCTAGGATACATTGCTCTGCCCCCATGGCAGACTGTATGGTGAGATCTAATATGTCTAGGATACATTGCTCTGCCCCAATGGCAGACTGTATGGTGAGTTCTCATGTTTTTAGCATACATTGCTCTGTCCCCATGGCAGACTGTATGGTGAGTTCTCATGTTTTTAGCATACATTGCTCTGCCCCAATGGCAGACTGTATGGTGAGTTCTCATGTTTTTAGCATACATTGCTCTGTCCCCATGGCAGACTGTATGGAGAGTTCTCATGTTTCTAGCATACATTGCTCTGCCCCCATGGCAGACTGTATGGTGAGTTCTCATATTTCTAGGATACATTGATCTGTCCCCATGGCAGACTGTATGGAGAGTTCTCATGTTTCTAGCATACATTGCTCTGCCCCCATGGCAGACTGTATGGAGAGTTCTCATATTTCTAGGATACATTGCTCTGTCCCCATGTTAGACTGTATGGAGAGTTCTCATGTTTCTAGCATACATTGATCTGTCCCCATGTTAGACTGTATGGAGAGTTGTGATGTTTCTAGCATACATTGCTCTGCCCCCATGTTAGACTGTATGGAGACTTCTGATGTTCCTAGGATGCTGGACAGACCAGCGCAGACTTTGACCAGCGGAAGCGGTTCATGTCCAGCCTTCAGGAAGTGGAGACGTACCTCAACAGGAAGGCCCTGGGTCTTCTGCCGCCCAACAAAGAAGGCAGCTTTTTTGATGAAGGTGTGTGATACAAAGATGTGGTTCACTAAAGGGGAATAAGATTAATCTGGCCATTGCAATTTTGAAAATGTTGTTATCAAATGATATCTCCTATGTTTCAGACTATAATAGTGACACCAGCGATAGCATTACGGAGGGAGAATCTAGTCAGTCACAGTCCAATGTTCCAGTAAATGGTCCTGAGGAAGGCAGCAAGCTGGCCACTCCCCCAGTTCAAGTTGTGAAGAAGAGCATGGGGAGACAAGCTCATGGCTTACAAGTGCTTAGTGTCATGTACGATAACCAGTTACCTACATTCCATTATCAGAATAGCATTCTATACCCAGTCGGGTTGCCTAGGGTTAAAGCGTTCACTTGTCATGCCGAAAGATCCATGTTTGATTCCTGACATGGGTACAATGTGTGAAGCCCATTTTCTGGTGTCCCCCAGCTGTGATATTGCTGGAATATTGCTAAAAATGGCGTAAAACCATACTCACTCACTCACTCATTCTATGTCCCGGTCCAACATACACAATTTGCTTGATTTCTCAATGAGAATTAAAACAAGTATTGATAGACTTTTTTCCAAATTTGTTGTTGGTCAATCTCATTAAAAATCAGATCTTAGTTTATGCTGCTCGGAAACAATGATCTGAAGACATCCCATTATAGGTCATGTCAGAACGACCTTTTACAAACTTTGACCGACCAATGAAATGACTAACATGAAGTCGACATAAGCCATTCAGAAAGCCGTTTTATCGAGTAATATGGCACTGGTTTCAAACTGGTAGCTTCGCTTTAAAAAATATTTTGAGAATTTTTCTATTCAACATTTGTAACTGTACAAAAGAACTTTTTGGAATGTGTAATAGATGGCCTAGACTGTATGGCAGCACTTCCCCTGGGCTATGCAAAGTCTCTTCCAATGGAATGTTTATCACATTGAAGCAGGAGATAGACGATGATTTGACTGATTCAATCATAAAGCCCGTAACTGGGGTTCGGATTACCCTGTGTTAAATGTTTCGAGGTTACATGATTACAAAACTCATTCCGACTGTCACTTTCCTCATCTGGTAAGCAAAGCTCTGATTGGTCGGATGAAAGGTCGTTCTGATCTGACCCGTAATGGGATGTCCTCAGATCTCTGTTTGAGCTCTAACAAGAACTAAGGTCTGACTTTGATGAGATTGATTATAGGTAGTCCTTTGTATTCATAAAACAGCCAGCGTTATCCTTTACATTTTGTAGACAGATGTAGAGTTACTATGACTACAACTAAGGTTGACCTGGTGTCTGGGTGATGGCTTCTTGTGACCAAATATTATGATTAGATTAGACCGAATGAAATTTGAAGACATGTCATATGTAAACACAGGTCAGATGAAGTAACCAGTCAAATCAGACCATGCTAAAGAGGAGGAAAGTCACTCATACTTCGCTGTACGCTATTCTGTCTTGGAGATGAATGCTTTCAGTCTCTCAGTTCAAGTGAACTTATGGGGTGTGGTTTGTTCCCTGTTATATCGAACTAAAATCAGTGGTCCCTTTGAGTTCGTTACAACCATAGTTTACTGTATGTTGTATGCAGAGTTATGTAAACATACTTTGGTATTTTGTCATTGTTACCTCTGTTATGGCTTTTGATTTTCACATAATTTACATCTCTCAAACAGCAAGGTTCATGAAGCTGACTGTTTTTCTATGTCATCACAGCTCTGGTGATGTTATCTAAAAACAAACACAGAATACTGATTCAATTCAAGGCATGGCCACCAGCCATATTGAAATGTAATTTTGCCCAAAGCTATCTTAGTGCTAAGACAATCGTAAGTCCCATACTTTAACTGTGACATACGATAGTCATAGCACTTAGATCGCTTTGTGAAATGGAGCCATATTGAGTAGAATAGCCTTGTGTTTCTGTTTGTTCAAAATAAGACGACTGAGGACTTTACCTTGTCTCCTTCTTCAGTTAAGGATTTCTTGGTAGAATGTGAGCTAAGGGCTCATCATAGTGTATTTCATCCATTGTTATTGTACTTGAAGCTGTTTGTATTGATTAAGAACTGAATATAGTACTACTTGCCACCTTACCAACTCACACACCTTGGGGCCCCCACTTTAGAGTAGGTCAATGCACCTTACTGCTTGTCTGAAGACACTAAATTGGCTGCTTGTGTGTCATCGCAGTGCTACGTTGCTCATGTGTCACAGGTTGTTAGGCCCAGTCTCAAGGGATCGTTTTATCCCTGGACTGTTGTTGACTGCTCTATGAAACACAAAATAAAACAACCCACTCTCAATAGAACTGATGTTAATGTGTTTTGGAAAGAGGGAGGGTTTATCACTGAAGATTCTAAAAGAATTTTGTATGATATGTTTTCTTTTTTTTATAGGAAGGAAAGAAGAAAGAAAAAGAATAAAGTCCTTTTAGACTTCATAATATCTGAAGAAATGAAGGTATGGATGCATGGTCTTGAGATACGTGCCTCTTTGATGTGGATATGTTTTGGTTGGTATTGAGAGAGTTACAACACTTCATTGTTTATAACCACACATGGACATGACGTTTTCATGTTCATTTAGACCACGTCTGTGGCCTAGTGGAAAGAGTGTCTGCCTTTGAGAGCTGAAGGTAGATGGTTTGATCCAAGGCCTTAAACAGGTGATACTTGTTACCCTGCCTGGCTCAGCATTAAGGGGCTAAGACAAGAACTGGACAGGTCAGAGTCAGTTTTCTGCGTCTAAGTGGGGTACCAATGTTAATCTGCAATGAAGAAGTAGGGGTAATCTCACTGTGAGTGTAATATACTGACACTTCTCAGGGACTTCATCACTGTATGTTACATCTTATTGGGGCAAGCGTGTCCACTAGCCTATTTCAAAGCCTAGTTTCTACCCTTATCACATCAAGGCCACTTTTCTTGCCTTGACCCTGGCACCACCTTGCGTAGATCACAAGTTTGACCCTTATAATGTAATTGCAATATCTAATCAGATCGCTGTTCTTAGCTCGTTTAGCTTCACAAAGATGGCGACTACCATAGATGACAATTTAGTCGATCAGATAACGAAAACATTCATGATCCCAGACATAAAAACATAGGAAATAATTGGGTGGTTTTAAATATGAAAAAGACATATTCGTGTAAATCATTTTCGTCTGAGGGTGTTGATTTTGTGAAACATTCTCTGATTGGACTATTGATATGTGCACAGGAAAGTGGGCTTGAGTGGCAAGAGTGGAAACAAGACTTTGATAAAAAGGTTAGTGGATGCTCTTGCCTCTGGAAGATGTGTATGTTAGTATCATGCTTTGTTTCAGGAATACTTACTTGGTATCTACAGTGGGACGAAGAAGAGTGAACGTCATACAAAGTACCGTTCATCAGTTCGGGAGCGAGACAAACTCCGTCACTCTGGGTTTGGTCCAATCGCAGATGAAGAGCAGGTGGGCCAACATTCTTGTCAGTGATTTAAGTAGCTGTCTGCTACACTGATTTGATCTCATCTTAATAGAATATTGTTGAAAGTGAAAAAGGCAACTTGATCAATGTTATTTTCTTGGTCAATGTTATGTTATCTTTGTTCCAAAAGGTTGATGTGTAAGTTCTGGCTCTATTAGCATGAAAGGTTCGGTTGTGTACTCCCCAGAGAGCTGAGAATGAAAATCGAGTGGACACCGATCTTTTGACCGGGGTAATAATGTTAGCAGTTTGAGCATGCACCTTGGGTCATATTGGTTGGATGACAGATGGAGAAACAACAAACCATGAAAATGTTAAATATTCCTGACTTTGGTGTAACAACTTTGAAACCTACTTCTGCAACTCCATGATATTCTATGACAAATCACCAACTGTGTCATTAAAGCTACAAAAAATAATAGTCTTGGTTCTCAGGCACCACCGCATCATATAGTCTGCTGCATGTTTTGTTTTTATTTCCTTTTTTAAAAAAATATAAAAAATCCTTATATTGCATGCAATTACTTCCCTTTACATGCGCACTGCTTTACTGTGCATCTCGTACTATGGTCATTGCAGCAAAAGGAGTAGTTTGCTTGTTTAAGTAGGGAGGCTCTTTCCCAGATTGATGGTACACAACTGTTAATTTAGTTACATACTAGTTTGAACAACGGTGGTCGGGTAGCCTATCGGTTAAAGCATTCACTGTCACGCCGAAGACCCGGGTTCAATTCCCAACATAGGTATAATGTATGAAGCCCAATTCTGGTGTTCCCCTTGTGATATTGCTGGGATATTGCTAATAGTGGCGTAACACCATACTCAATTACTAGTTTGAACAAGCAAAAATAAAAACTACTGCATGCCCGCATTATATTTTCAAAAGTCATTGCCTGAGAACCAATTATTTTATTTTTTTAAGCCTAAGCTTCATTGATCATTGGGCTAAAACACTTTGTTGACATTGTGCAAAACCATACGAGAAACGCCAACAATAAAAATCCACAAACTGGCCTCGGCTAAGCCCCATTTTCAGTTATGCAAAACTGAAATGATTTGACAGTGATGCAGCAGTCATCCAATGAAATTATTTACACTTCTGCTCATGACAAGTGACAATTGCGAAAGAGTTGCTTCCCTTCCATTGAAAAGTGATCACTATGTTATTTTTGCAGCAAATTATTAAATAAAAAATACATATTTTTAATTTGGTCTGGTCTTGATATTGCATACCTTTTAATCTTTGTGATTGGTACACATGACAGTAAGTCTGTGCAGAAGCCTGTCAGGTGAGTTTGTCTGTGTTGCCATGGTGATTAACATAATTAGAGAAGTTGATACCATGAAATTTGACTAATTAATTCAACAACTGGGGGAAGCTGAAAAAAGCATTTACAATTTAATTTATGCCTGAATTGTGTTTCAGCAAGATGAAATTACCTACAAATTTGTGGAATGGTACAAGGACCATGCCTGTCCCTCAGCAGACATTGACTACATACTGGATGTATGGATACCCGAAGTAAGTAGAGTAGTGAGGAAATATCAGTAGAACAGACAGGGTCTCAATTGTAAATGATAGGTAGCACTTCTCCAAACAATGTGTGAGACTTGGAAATATTGCTGAAAGCATCATAAAACCTTACTCACTCTTTCTTCATATAAAGGTGTCACCTTACCACACAGCAAATAGAGAGTATGACTGGAATGTTATTGAAACACACTTTTTCTTTGATATTCTGGTCTCCTCTGCTGGGTGGGATTAATCTGAGAAGATGAAGGTCGAAGGCACCAGAATATGTCAACACCATACCTGTGTTCATACAATTCAGTGGTCAACCTCGGAGATTTCTGTCACATTCCACAACCAATACGTTATTACTCCATGACAGTCCTGGAATACTGAAATATTGTTCAAGGCATCCTCAAACCCATCTCACTCACTCACGAGTCAGCTTCTTGTGCTGGTGATGTCATGTATTGTTCATGATGTTGTTTATTGTTCATGATGGTGTGTATTCATGATGTCATGTATTTATATCATGCATTGTTCATGTCATGTTTTGTTCATGATGGCATGTATTGTTCATGATGGCAAGTATTGTTCTTGTCATGTATCGTTCATGTCATGCATTGTTCCATGTTGTTCATGATGGCATGTATTGTTCATGATGGCAAGTATTGTTCTTGTCATGTATCGTTCATGTCATGCATTGTTCATGATGGCATGTATTGTTCATGATGGCAAGTATTGTTCTTGTCATGTATCGTTCATGTCATGCATTGTTCATGATGGCATGTATTGTTCATGATGGCAAGTATTGTTCTTGTCATGCATTGTTCATGTCATGCATTGTTCATGATGGCAAGTATTGTTCATGATGGCAAGTATTATTCTTGTCATGTTTTGTTCATGTCAAGCATTGTTCATGATCAATGATGGCATGTATTGTTCATGATGGCAAGTATTGTTCTTGTCATGTATTGTGCATGTCATGCATTGTTCATGATGGCATGTATTGTTCTTGACATGCATTCATATCATGCATTGTTCATGTCATGCATTGTTCATGATGTCATGCATTGTTCATGATGGCAAGTATTGTTCTTGTCATGTATCGTTCATGTCATGCATTGTTCATGATGGCATGTATTGTTCTTGACATGCATTCATATCATGCATTGTTCATGTCATGCATTGTTCATGTCATGCATTGTTCATGATGTCATGCATTGTTCATGATGGCAAGTATTGTTCTTGTCATGTATTGTTCTTGACATGCATTCATATCATGCATTGTTCATGTCATGCATTGTTCATGATGTCATGCATTGTTCATGATGGCAAGTATTGTGCATGTCATGCATTGTTCATGATGGCATGTATTGTTCTTGATGTCATGTATTGTTTATGACATGCATTCATATCATGCATTGTTCATGCCATGCATTGTTCATGATGTCATGCATTGTTCATGATGGCATGTATTGTTCATGATGTCATGCATTGTTCATGATGGCAAGTATTGTTCTTGTCATGTATCGTTCATGTCATGCATTGTTCATGATGGCATGTATTGTTCTTGACATGCATTCATATCATGCATTGTTCATGTCATGCATTGTTCATGTCATGCATTGTTCATGATGTCATGCATTGTTCATGATGGCAAGTATTGTTCTTGTCATGTATTGTTCTTGACATGCATTCATATCATGCATTGTTCATGTCATGCATTGTTCATGATGTCATGCATTGTTCATGATGGCAAGTATTGTGCATGTCATGCATTGTTCATGATGGCATGTATTGTTCTTGATGTCATGTATTGTTTATGACATGCATTCATATCATGCATTGTTCATGCCATGCATTGTTCATGATGTCATGCATTGTTCATGATGGCATGTATTGTTCTTGATGTCATGTATTGTTCATGTCATGTATTGTTCTTGATGTCATGTATTCATATCATGCATTGGTCATGATGTCATGTATTTTTCATGATGTCATGCATTTGTCATGTTGTGCATTGTTCATGTCATGCATTGTTCATTTCATGGGGTAGAATATTGATAGAAAGGGTTATTATGCTTGTCGTAAGAGGCAACTAACGGGATCGGGTGGTCAGGCTCACTGACTTGGTTGATGCATGTCATTGTATCCCAATTGTGTGGATCAATGCTCATGATATTAATCACTGGATCAATGCTCATGATATTAATCACTGGATTGTCTGGTCCAGACTCGACTATGTACAGATTGTCATCATCAAAAATTGTTCATGATGTCATGTACTGTTCATGATTGTTCATGACTCATTAATTACAATTGTCCTGGATGAATTAGTGATGCAAATCTCTTGGAAAGTTATTTTCACAGTATTTCTTGTAGTTATGGAAGAGTCAGAGTCTATAGCAGCTATGATGCATGCTCTGTTTTCCAGGCTGTCGTGTACAGTATGATAAAGCGACGTAGTTATGGGAGGTCCAGAGCATGGGAGGCATTCAACAAAGGATGTCGACTCTTCAAGATGGAGCAGCGACAAATTCACCAGCATCTTATCGAAACCGCCCGCAACATCTCCCCCGCAGATGCCCGCCTGTACAACGAGCGTCTGCAGGAGCGCATTCAACTCACTATGTCCACATGAACTCATGTTAGGCCTTATCAATTGGTTTACAGATTTTCTTCCTCAAAACCCCAGTTCAGTGATCAATTTAAAAATAATTATAGTTGCTTTAATTTTTTTTTGGTAAAAGAAGGTAGGGTCAGGAAATTTAGAAATATAGTACAGCTTTGTTTTCTCAAGTTTTTCATGTGGCATTTTCATGGAATGTAACAGGAATGTTAAGATCATTTTATGGTTTTCCGATAGGATTAAAGCCACACACTGTTTGGAGTACTGGTGAGGCTAGCTGTAGTGCTTGTCATGGCTTCATCTCAAGCCATTTGTAGGTTATTGATCATGTATCACTTGTCCTGGCAGGCAGGAAATAATTTGTGATCAATTATCTCCAGAAGTATGATTATCAGCGGTTATGACCCCCCTAAACTGGAATGATGTTTTTTTTCACATCCATGTTTTAAGGGGCAGTGGATCTGTAAGCCAAGTAATAAAAGCTAAATTGCAATAGTTTCGTCCTGATCCTCGTACCATGCAGAGACTGTATGCCCATCATCTAGTGAGACCCTGACCATCCAGAAAGTTCAAATAATATCCAGATAAACACAGGTTAGCGCAATCTTGTTAGTCAGTTCTTTTACCTGTCTGTGTCATGATCTGAGAGCGCCTCCATAGAAGGTCACGTTCATGAACCCTCAGGAAACTTGGGACTGACCAATCAAGATGAAGGAGGCATGGGTTCTTGATCCAATCAGATGTCAGCTTTCTAAACCTATTCAGCTTCAATTCTTTACTGCCTCAATTCAGAAATTTTGATCACTTGCAAAGGAAACCGCTAGTGAACACAAATATAGCCTCTTTAGGACACCCCTTCAGGTTTTGATGTCATGGCGCTCACAAAGAGTGATGCATGACACATCCACCATCATATCATTGCCCTGCATTGATTTTTGTCACATTTAGATTTCCTTGATTATATTTGTTTTCGAGAAATAGAAATCAGACATGCTTTTCTGAACGCTCACTTGTGCCAAGCATTTAGAGGCCTTGACACTGATTGGTTGATTAATAAGTTCACCTGACACAGCCTCCTCAGGTTCCTCAGATCAGATGCAGATTAATAGCACCTCTTAGGGTCAAAAGTACCAATCTGATTTCCCAGGACCTTTTTGTAATATTGTGATATGTTAACAGTAATAGTCCAGGAATGTACAGATGCCGTAGTATAGACAGTGGGGGTACGGTGACACTTGCACAAAATTATATCATGATGTGGCAAGACATTAACCTTCACAAAAAAAATTATGTTTGTACCTCCTGATGCGGAAGTCTGGCATCAATCGGTACGGCACCACATAATTTATCAAGATGCCATGCTAAATCAAATTGTAATGAAAGTATTCTCCATCACTATTACTCATACTCATAATATTCTTTTGAACATATTTATATTCAACATTTTTGTTTAGTTCTTCATTCATTTTACTAGGAGTCCGGACTGAATACCCTTATCTTCTTCACTATAAAGAAACATTTGATATTTGGATGTCTTGACATTCGTGATAAAATATATACCTTGTGTTAATTCTTTCCATTTGAAAGTTTTGTCTTGGGAAGTAAATGCTTTGGCGTTCTTGTTTTCAAATTCTTCTTTTGTTAGCCTGTAATTTTTTTTTGTTATACACTTATGTGAACATCTATCTAGATGTAATATTCTGTGTACATGTATTATATGAACATCAATGATAACTATAATGGATTAAATGTACTATTTTCCACAAGGATATTGGAAGGGTAATGGTGCAATACAAAAACTAGCTGCAGCGGCTAAAGATGTTGCCAAGAAAGAAACAATATGACAAAGGAAAGCATTAAATCATGACAGTATTCGTGTACTAGCTGAGCAAAGTTAAATAGCATTGGGGATCATATCTAAATGGCATTAGCTGATGGTAAGATATCAGAAGGAGAGTTCCACTTAGTATTGTCAGAACTCACTACATGCAATGCAGTGAAACATGTTATATTCGATCAAATTCTCGTAAGACAAGGGAAGATGGGAGACAGCAAGCGTACCAAGTATTCGAAATCAAACCCAAAGGACTGGTAGGAGATTAAGAATAGATTGTTTCCTTGATATAGGATAGCATCTTGATAATATATGATATGGCCAGGCTGCATGTGTAACGTGTTGCCATACTGATTGATGCCGGCGTACCTCATCTGGAGGTATCACCTACTTATTTGTGTTAAGATTAGTGTCGGCCGCATCATGATATCATTTTGTGCAAAGTGTCACTGTACCCCCAGTGTTTATACTACTGATGCATTTCAGTCCCACCATGATATTAAGGTGTCTTAAATGTGCCTCTTTCTTATCCAAATCGGGCAGCATGAGCTCAAAGAGCATGAAGCAAAGACAGGCATGGGTACTCAGGCCCTCATATACACACTACAGATACCTGAATTCGCATCGGCAGCATAAGCATTCGTTGACCTTGTACATAGTTTTCATATTTAACCCTAGATTGCCATCAATGTCTTGTGCCATCAATAGAGAGTGGTTTGATCACTTTATTGTCCCCACCACGAAGTGGAGCGGGGGATATAGGTGCTGAGTTTGTCCGTCCGTCCGTCCTCTTTTCAAAGGGGACAAGTCTTCTGAAAAACTATTTAAGTCACCCAAATGAAATTTTTACACGCTGATGTTACTGTTCATGATCTCAAAATTCATTTTTTTACAGAGTTATAGCCCTTGCTCCGTGCTTTTTAACTTAGTGCATACTGCGTTAATTGGGGACAAGTTTCTCAGAAACTGCTGAAGTTACTTGAATGAAAGTTTGCATTCTTATCTAAGAGATACTTGTCAAGACTGAGTTCGAAAATTGGTCCTGTCATTAATTTTTTTACAAAGTTATGGCCCTTGATCCATGTAATTTGACTTGGTGCATAGTGTCTGCAATGGGAACAAGTTTTCTCAGAAACTACTGAAGTTAGCTTATCTATGAGATACTTATCAAAACTGAGTTATTTTTTTCCAGAGAAGGGGCCTTTTGTGTGTATAATTGTCACATTTAATCATTTTTCCTGATGACATAAAGTGTCTTATCTCTTGTTAAGGCTTTATAGGACTCTTGGTTATAGTTCACAACTATATGAACAACAAAATTCTAATGTGCCCCTTGGGAGGGTAATAGTGATAACGCTGTTTTCTTGTTCAAAATGTTTTGGTGAGGCCATGGAAAAGAAATGTTTCATCCAAGTCATCATGCTTCTTTCAAATTTTCTCCTGTTGTGTAAGTAATACAGTATACAGAAAGAGATGAATAACAGTCCCTGCTATTTTTTAACATGATTCACCACCCACATTAGTTTGACCTTGAAGCAGACCATGAAACATGCAGGGGAAAACCACCATAGAAATTGCTGTCCTATGTAATCAGTCATAGAGTGCCTGAGCCACCGACACTAGGAGAATGTGCTGCCAATATCGTAGAGCTGACTGGATGAAATTCATTAATCTTGATTGTGTAGTTCATGCTTCAGTCGGTGGCTGTCCTGATTCCATATTTACACAGTTTGATTGTGTTTATCTGTTATCCACTTTCCAGCGGTTGAATGTCATTCATTATATGAACTTGCAGACACCCTCTTGGTGCGACAAAGGCTTGTTGATGTGGTGAACAATTTGTTTCTCACACTTTGACCTATTATTGTACAAAATGTCAAATTGCTTGGTGTGAGTGCCTTGTAATCTAGACTTGTTTATTGGAATTTCGCGGATGAAATCTGCTGTATAGGAATTATTGTAAAAAGTATGTGAATTATCATGAAATGAAAAATTGGACATGGTGTGTGTGAATCAATGCAATTGTTAATGATCTAAAGGGAACACGATTTTACGGACAATTTGTGTTTGTATTTGTCATGGCTGTACATGACTAACCTTGCATGAAAGCACTTCAACTAGGTGTTTATTGTGGTTAGGTTGTGTGCTGTGTGTGATTAGTACTACCTGTTTGCTTTAGAGAACATACAGCATCATGTCTGAAAATAATTAGAGAATAGGGAAATACATCGTAATAATCTGGTTTCAGTTCTTTCAGAATTGACCTTCTTGTTGTTTTCAGAGGGGAAGAGCAATTTTATTTTTATGCTTTTGCAAATCATGCACCAGCCAAGATTGCAGTGTTTTGGGTGTCCATATACCCCCAGGGACCCCAGTTTTAGGTATTTAATTTATAAATCCTTTGCAATGCAGAGCCAAGTTGATTATTCAGTTTCCTCAGTGTTTGGAAATATCTACCCCCACCCCCACAGAAGACAGAATGATGAGTCCCATGGGACAGCCTTATGCTACAATAGAACAGAGTCCCTATTCCCTGCACACACACCACAGGGATAAACTGGGTAATTTTATTTGGTTTCTAGGTTATATAGGTGTAAGTGGGGAACGTCAGGGGCCTCTTTGGGCCTTCCTCCACATGATGTAGTGAGGATCCTGGTAATGTAGTAATTTAATTAGCTTGTGTAAGTCATGTTATTATATGTTCAAGTCTGTACCCTCCTCAGGCTGTGGTCCAATATTGTCTCAGCTTGTCTTACAATGGGGATAACGTGGTATGTTCCAGTCTGTACCCTCCTCAGGCTGTGGTCTAATATTGTCTCAGCTTGTCTTACACTGGGGATAACTTGGTGTATTTTGTGGGCCCAGGCCTTATGTAGCAGAGAAAGCCTTCCTAGTTTTGATGCTGCTATTAAAAAATATACTGCTCACAACTTAAAGAACACCCGCAATTGACAGGCTGTGTTGCAATACCCACCAGCCATGACTGATTTACTGTAGTCATATGAAAAGATTGGGTGTTCTTTAACTTCTTTTGAGTAGTATATTAAGTCCAGTGCGCTATTCCACAAAGTGGTCTTAGCGCTATGATTGTCACAAGTCTATGTTAAAGGTATGGAGTTAAGATCGTCTTTACGCTAAGATCACTTGATGGAACAGCGCCATGGGTCTTATCAACTATGCCATGTACAATGAGTATGTGATATATCCATTAAAATGGCATAAACATCCTGTGAATAAAATGTGATAACAATCGTCCTTCTTATGCTATTACACTGACATAGTGTGTATGTGTGCGATTGAAGTGTTTTATGTGAATTCAGCATGTTTCTCTGTATGATGTTCCAGACTCTGTGTCTTGAGTACATCCACTTTGCCCAGTGCTCTGCGGTGATACAATGCCATATGTCATTGCCTGCAGTTCAAATCCCTTCACCATTCTGATTACACTAAGGCCCAAAAAAGTAAAAGAAATGTTTTTTATCATAGTGTGGGTCTTTTTAACCTAATTCCCGGTTCCTTAATCGGCCATTCATAATTTCCGCAATTTATATTTTCAGTTAGAGTTATCTTTCCTTTACGTTTGTGATATACCATGTTACACTTTGCACATAACTACTGCTGTTTGATTATTAGTTCATGGAATGTACTTTCAACACTTTGCTTGTCTTTTACTATTGTTGATAAAATTCCCAATTGACAGGTTTTTTTTATTGCTACTAAGTCTGAAAACCCCATTTGGCAATGAAATAAATCCCATTGTTTTCATGCATGTCCCACCAAAGATATTAAACTCACCACAACAGCATGTTAAAGTAATTGTTCAGACATTGGTCATCATGACATTAAATTATATACATATATTTTATAAATTTCTACCCAACATATGTCTGCACAAAAGGCAAAAAAATATTGAAAAGGCTTTCCTTTCTTTTCCCCTTTTTCGACCACCGAAGTTTTGAGAGAACAAATCCATCAACCAACTAATTAAAAAAAAGCACTACAGAGAGTTCGACGTTTGTTTCTCTGACAAGACATGGAAGTACTCTTAACAAATATAAAACAGAAATTGTGCCCTTAACACTGTCTCATTCACTGGACATGAAGTGTCTCTGCTTTTGTAAGATATATTTGGTCATGTTACTTAGGCCCATCCGACTGCAATCATAATGTATACCACTGAAAACAAGTTAAACTACCCCAAGCTCATCTGTTATGCTATAATCTGCTATGATTAACTACAGTAGCAAGAGAATCAGATGTTCTTTCACTTCTTTTGAGTAGTAATTATGAAAGTACTGTTTAACTTTCTGTAATGCTTTGTAATAATTCTGAATTGTAAAAGTCTCTAAAAAACTTTCTTTTCTTATTGTTTTACATGGTGTGACTTAAGGAGGTGATTTTCTTTTTTCCCCAATTTGAAATGTCAAACATTTCTACTTGTGTAATGCTTTCTTGCTTGTTAAGGACAACAAGAAGGTGGTGTTACTCAACATTCACTCCTTGCCTTTTAATCTGCAGACAATCAAAATATTATTGACATGTTCTTAGCTGAACGTTGGTTACTGCTTTCCACTCACACAGAATTCAGTTAATAGTGTTTGTTTCAATGATTTGTTTTCATTGATGATGTTTCTATATTTTCTTAGCTGTTAGTGATAAACAGTTTCTTTACAAAAATGAAGTCCATTTGAATTAATTATTTTGTGATTTCAGAGTGAGTGAGTTGGGTTTAACGCCGCTTTTAACATTATTCCAGTTATATCACGGCTTGTGATTTCAGAAGCGTGACTGCAGATATTTATGGAATAATATTAGGAAATGTTTCTGCTGAATGAAAACATTGCATTCATTGAGAGATTCCTCCGAAAATGTATTTGTAAAAATCATATAGTTCTCCTAAAAAATGTGCAGTGATGACTAAACGGCACACCTGTACTTATTTACATTATAATATATGTATTCAGTCAGATTGTAGTATGAAGATGTTGAGAAGAGAAAACAATTCTTCTCTTCTAGTTTCCACCCTGAAATATATTAAGGATAAAACACGACTCCAAGGTTTTGGTTGAAAGTGTAAAACCACAAGCTCAAGGAACATTAACATGGAATAGCTTGATTTTTTGTGAAAATCACATTTTTTAGTTTTGAATTTTTATCATATCTAATATGTAAAATGTGAAGCAAGATATTTGTGCTCTGTGTGATATTTGTGTACTGGATTTTATCAGGCTCAAAATTGTTTTATCCTCAAGGCACAAAACAAGTCATGTCCAGTACTGAATGCACAAGAATGTTCAATCTACAGCTACAATGATCAACATCATTAGCGCCAAATGAGCCACACACTTGAAATTCTCAGATTAGGGGAGAATGATTGGCAGCATTCTTTACCTGCTTCATTACCAATTGCAAAAGTCAATATTAGTGTAAGGTAATGATAAAAAAAAGGTAACTTTATTTTTTTATTAGAATGGTAAAGCTAAGGACAAAATGAAAAGGACAATTTAGCAACACATGCAATGTTTCCCATCCTTCTTCATTCTCGTTTACTGTGGCAAATATTTCTCCAGAAGTGTTTGGCTGAATAGCCATGAAGGTCAAGTTCAAACTTCCTGTGGATTAATCTAATTTTTCAAACAACTTTATGTATAAAGTCTGATGTAATCATTGGATAGATAACAAAGTTAACAGTGTAGATTTTAGCCTTTGAAATAATGTAGCCTGTGCACGTAGGACAGGACAGATCGGCAGTCAATTGTACATAGTGTGCTCACTCTCTAAGTTATTATGATCTTTCAGTTTCAGCTTCATTTTTATTTAGAGTTGACATAGGTGAATATGTTGATTTTTTTTTTTGGAAGTGTTTGTGACTGGTTTCAATGTATGTATGATCACGACTAAGGTTTGTTGGTTGGAAGATCAACTGACTTTAAGCCTTGTAACATCATTGCATTTATGAAGTGTGAAATAAATATATGCTGAGTGCAGTCGTGTCATTTTGATCTTTCTGTGAAATCACACATGGAGTATGCAGGCCTGTGTCCAACACTTTCACCACCAGGGTACGATCATACACTCTGTCAGCCAGGTCACAGATAAGAACTGGAATTCAACCTTGATCACTAAAGGCAGCTTCACACGGCCAACATTAGTTTGCAAACAAAGGTGGGCAAACTCCAAAATGTTTGCCAACACAATTTTTACATGACAAATTTGTGTTGTTGGTACTTAGTTTGGCATGGGGTCTTCGGTGAGCACTTTGCCCCAGTGTCATGGAGGAAAATTGCGGCAGCAGTCTTAATAATGTCTGTTCTTCAGAGAAAATGCAAGTGTGTACTTAGTCCTATGAATGGGATTTCCTTATTTTTGTGTGTTCATAAGTCTTATCCTTTTTATCATTTTAAAAAAGGGAGCACAGATGGTCCAGTTGTCTAAGGCACGGCGATTCGCTGTGCAGAGTTGCGTCCCTTGGGCACACCAGAAGCCTATGATTGTGGGTTCGATTCCCGGTTGACCCGATTATGTTTTTAGGTTTGTCAGCACCATACCTGTGCTCATGGGTTTCACCCAAGTGGTAAACATCTGAGACCTGCATCACTTCGGGCTTTCCTACCACATTTAGCTGACACGCTGTGATATAACTGAAATATTGTTAAAAGCGGCGTTAAACCCAACTCACTCACTCATTTTAAAAAAGGTTATCTGCTTTATCCCTCATGGTGCCTGGCCATCAGCTGGCTTTGCCTCTCAGTGCCCTACTGTGATGTTTGTGGCTGTTTAAAAAACGTATACCTTGCACGTGTGTGTGTGTGTGGCTGCTTGTACTAGTACGGACTAAAGCTGAGTTTATGATGATAGCCTACATCTTCCTGAGGCAGGGGAGTTAACTGACTATCAAAGTCCAGTTTCCACCCTTGCCGACCTAGGCTGGAATTTCAGGGCTTGATCGTAGCGCCACCAGTGGCTATTACCAGTCACGTCCCTTCTATGTCCCCACTATTGACCAATCAGTTTCCACCTTTTGATATCACTTGCATTTGCTGTCTGGGCTCAGTCAAGACGATCGAACGATAATCAAGATCTATATTGTAATAAAACGGGTCTTACCCCGAAGTGCATCAAATCGCGTCAGCGCATTAACTAAAAACATGAACAGATTTGGAAAACATCTGTTGAAGTCGATTTCGTTACGCGATTCTGATTGGACTCATTATCCCTGCCAAAATATAACTCCATAATTCCAGCCTTGTTCGGCAAAGGTGGAAACTGGACTTTTATTGTCAGTGAACATCCTTGCCTCGGGAAGATGGCTAGCCTATGGCCACTGAGAAACCATGCCGCAGTTTAACATGGATACCCCACTCAGACACAGTATACTGACTCCGAGCAGACCAGTCCTTGTTTTAGCCCCTTAATGCCGAGAGCCAGGCAGGGTAACAACAAATGAGGTTTTTTAATGAGCCAGCCTGAAACGACGAAAAATGTCCATTTTTTTAATCCTCCCCAAATGTGTGCAATATTTTTTGGGTGACCCTCCCTCCCTTATAATGAATTTCCAGTCCCTAAGAACCTCTATATGTTTGTCATTTCTGTTTCTCATAACGGGTCCACTTATATTATAACATGTCAAACAAAAGTGGAATTCCCATGTGTATAAATAAATCTATCCAGACGAGCCGAAGATCATGTGCCGATCCCTATCACGATGTCCCAATTACGCTCGTGTACGGTGGACTGTTGCGTGCACTCGCTGTGCTAATCAGCTGCCGTGACCCCAGACGTCTACGTTGTCCGGGAATATGTACGACAAGGGTCCAAAGTCCATGTGAACAATAGACATGGGATGTAATTTTCAGTTTTCAATCCATGCTGGTTGTGAGTTTGGGCACGCATATCTACTCCAGGCATCCGTGTTTTAAGCTTCAAAACCAGTTGGCCATTTTCAAATGATATTTTGATATATAAAATATCAGTAACTGATTTCAACAGAAACCAGTGCAACTGATTAATACATTGCTTTGACGAACACACAATAACACATTATGAATCCTGTTGACAGACCTGACTGGAAAATACTACGCAAATATACATTTGGTATGCACGTTTGGGTGAAGCCAATAATTTGTGTCTAGTTTGATTAGAGTGAGTGAGTATGGTTTTACGCCGTTTTTAGCACTATTCCAGCAATATCACGGCGAGGGACACCAGAGATGGGCTTCACACATTGTACCCATGTCGGGAATCGAGCCCGGGTCTTCGGCGTGACGAGCGAACGCTTTAACCACAAGGCTACCCGGCCGCCCAGTTTGATTAGATGTGAGGTGAGGTGAAATTGGGTTTAACGTCGCGTCCAAGATTATTGCACTTATATAGCGACGTGCATGCACGTGTATGTGTGTGTGTGGCTGCTTGTACTAGTCCGGACTGATGCCGATTTATAGTGCTAGCTCACTGAGATACCATGCCGCAGTTTAACATGAATACCCCACTCAGACACAGTATACTGACTCCGAGCCGACCAGTCCTTGTTTTAGCCCCTTAATGCCGAACGCCAGACAGGGTAACAACAAGTACAATCTTTTAACGTCTTTTTGTATGACGCGGCCCGGGATCGAACCCTGGACCTTCCGCTCTCCGGGTGGACGCTCTACCACAAGACCACGGAGGCGGTCAGTTTGATTAGAACCAAGGCGGTGTGTCAAACCCATAACCGTCCTTCATGGGATTAACATCGTATTCGTGTCTATTCCCAGATTAAATGGAATTGTTCAGACATTAAATCATTGTTGACCCTGTCGGTTTTGGGAATATCATGTCACAATTCGTGTAATTCTCTCAGCTTTCGTTCAGGTATACAAATATCCCTCTCTTTAGGTAACCACACACACACACACATGGGTTCAAATCTGCAGAGTATACCATTTTATAGAATGAAATCTTTTGTTAATGTTTCATCAGACATACCCCAAACGATATGATTCTACATTCTATGTGTGTGTGTGTGTGTGTGTGTGTGTGTGTGTGTGTGTGAGAGAGAGAGAGAGAGAGAGAGAGAGAGAGAGAGAGAGAGACACTGATTTACGAAACCAACATCCAGAATATTGTATTGTATTCTGATTCGAGTAAAGTGTTACGTCTCTTGTCTGATATCTTACATGATTCACACATGTCACTATATAATTTCAGTGTGAAAATAGGCACTGGCACAGTGTTGACAAACCAAACATCGCTAACCGAGCTATTCTATTCTTCGGCCATATATACAGACTATGAACACCAAAAAAGTTTTATTTCATTTTCCCAGCCGATGAGTCAGTTCAGTTGGCGTGATGACATTAAAACCATCTTCCATTTAATGAGTTTTCATTTTGGGTCCCCTTTTTCTGAATGGACTGCTCGGATACTTGTTTTAGATGAGGTCAAGGGGAATTTTTTTCTTCTTAATTTTGTTTACGAGCAAAAATGCAATTGCGCATTTCCAGTTGCCACCACAATGTCACAGATAACGTGATATCAGGATGTGACTAAGTCCATGGCCTTGATTATCGCATTAAAGAACTCTTACACTAATACTCTTATGGAGATATGACATAATGGATAGCTCGTTGCGTAGCAGATCAGCATCATGTCGTCAAGATGATTACTCTTTAGACAAAGCGTTACTATGGTAACAGTGCTACAAATAATGCATATCCGGTGGTCTTGGTCTGTTAGCATTCGTCACCACTCGCCCCTTTCCGTAACCTGCAAGAGGAATAACACGAGTTGGTCACGAATGGGTCTGTAAGGATACAAAGTTGAAGCCTTTTCAAGTACATGTGTATCACAGGGGAAGCTAGAGGAAATGAAAATTTAACTAAACACGTTACAGTGTATATTTTTCTTCTTAGGCTTAACAAACACAGACCAAACACAAGCAGGCCCGCATAATATAATATGTTTATCTAAACCAGAAACATCACAAGGATATCAAATTTCATTTTCATTTTTGTAACGATTTCAAAGTGTAAGCACTGACCTCTTGTGCTGCGTAGTATAGCTACGTCACTGGATTAATTCAGACTATTATCTTTGGTGTTTCAACATCCGTGTTCGTGGGTTTGTCGAAGAGGTTAAATTCTGGGACGGTTGGCACAACAGACGTTTGCATGTTGACACGGCTTGCCTCGAGATTGCTCTAACTGTTCCAAGCCAAGCCCCCAGCCCACTGAAAATAATTAATTGATTACATTATCTTACATGACAAAATAATTTAAAAGAATTATAGAAATATATGTAGGAATCAGATTATGATGATTATTATTATGATAATCATAACTAACTACAATAAACATGTATAGAAGCCATATAATAATGTGAATAATAATTAAACGTTGCTCGTGACTAAACAGCATGCTGTATCATATCAAGTCATCTATATATATATGCAATACTTTTGACCAGACTTCCAGGGGAAATGTTAAATCACGGTCGGGCTAAGTGGGAGAGTAAAGGTTAGGTCACGATGACCTAGTACACGCACTTTGACCGCCAGGCGGCTCTGAATGCACAAGAGCTATTTGGGGAAACACGTCAAGGGGTGTCACGCGCAGACCAGCAAGTGGACTTTGGACAGTAGGTTGATGTAATCTGCCCGGGGTATATAAAGATAGCCCCTGAGACTGAGGTACATTTACAGTTCGCTAAATGCTGGAGCTCTCACACATTATACTGAGGTAAGGAGAGTTAGTTTGATTAGAAAATCTTACCTGATATCAACTCATCGGCGAAAGGGCTTAGTCGACAACAGTTTCATGTCAGAACTAGCTAGGCCTTGGCTAAAATGTCAGTGATTTAATCACATGTGTGTAGATTTCTGTATGTAGTTCTCATTTGTTACTTCAATGGTTGGTAGACAACAATGTAAATGTATATATTTGATGTACAGCTATATTTCAGTGATCTATTATGAGATTTTTTCAGCTGATTTTATGTAGATCTTAACATTAACTAGATCTATTCAAGTTTACACTTTGATTTCGTGTGGAAGAAATTATTCGTATTTCGAAGGATGGGCAATTAGTTCCCTCTCGAGTTACATGGGTCAGTCTGAACATCAGGCTCCCCGGCCCAAGTGTGTCCACATGGCTATCCCCGACTGGCCTTTGTCTTTGTATAGTAGTTGTTCTAGATCATTCAATTCATGAACAGGCAGGGCAGCAGATGCTGTGGACAATCCTCTGGTGGTAACCATGGTCTCAGTTTGAGTGAGCTCATCCATCATACACTGAGAAGTTTAGAGAGTTCACAGCATCAGTGACCCTTTGTTTTCTTGAAGTGTTATTTTCCGTATTCACAAGTTTTGTATTGTATGAAAAGATACTTTAGATAGGGACTCTGCTCCTTGTAACGTCTAAACTAGCCCACAATGTATTCATGTACATGACCAGTCCCTGCCCTTCATATACCCTTCATATCAACATAGACATGAAGGACACCCCCCTTGGACCCCCTTCACAACTTCCATACATTATTGTCTAACACAAATAGTTGGTCTTTTTCAAAAGGGTATATAATTTGCAACAGTACAGGATGATAGGGATTGGATACATTCTACCCTAAATCATGATCATGTTTAATGGTGGCGTGGTAGCCTAGTGGTTAAAAGTTTTCACCACTCCCACATTGCTCATTCACTATATTGTTTATGATATTATCCTCTCTCTAAGCCAAGATTACTGTTATTTTTGTTTCAAAATGAAATTAATACAATCACCATGAATATATATAATGGTCTATGTCTCTAAATAGTTGAGGAGAGTTTACACTTTATTTATGAACAAATGCGAATAATTGTGTAAAATCAGATCTGAAATGCTTGAATTCCAAAATGTTTTGAAAATTGACCTCCCAAAAAAGCCAAATAAAGAAGAGGTCACCCTGACTGTTTATCATTCTGCAATTTTTACTTCTTGTCCAAATCCTGTGTCCAGTAAAATTCTGTTTGATTGCGTTAGCTCAGATTATGATAATCCATAAAATAACACTAAATTCTACAGAAAATGATGCTAAGAGCCAAGTTCTAACTTGTAATCTCCAAAGATTTTGGCACAGACTGGTTTCTGTCTTTTACATTTTGATTGGGATAATTTGTTTCCAGGGTGGTTCTTATCCTATCTCCGACCTATTCTTTGTTTAGTACCAGGGTGTTCAGGGTTGTAATTAAATCACTGTCATCATGATCATGTCCTGTTATGAGTTTTTCTTCCTCTTTCAGCAATAGTTATATGTACCGACAAAGTCTAATGGCACAACAAACAAGAATGGAAGACGAACAGTTCATAAGTAAGCTTGGGAACCTGCCAATGGTGAACCTGGCATGGACAACTGCCTTCAGTGCCTATGAGAAAACCAAAGAAAGGCATACCCTGTTGAAAACAGCCCTCAACTTGGCCGAGAGCAGTGTCACAACAGTGGCTCAAACTGCCAAGCCTCTCGTGGACAAGGTCCAGCCTCAGAGTAAGCTTATTAATCCCAGTACTGACAGGATAGGATCAAGAGACTGAAGACACTTGCAAAACAAGTTTACATTCATAATGTCAGTGGTATCCTTTAGTAGGGTTACCTGGCTGAGCAGTTGAAAATTGAAATGCGAGCTGCGACTAAGACAGCCTAGAAGTTTGTGTTTCTTGTAAAGACTAGTTCAGAGGAATGTGTAAGCCTTAGTTAACTACTCCTCAGTGTAGGGGGAGGGGTCAGGTAGCCTAGTGGTAAAGCGTTCGCTCGTCACGCCGAAGACCCGGGTTCGATTCCCAACATTGGTTCAATGTGTGAAGCCCATTTCTGGTGTCCCCGGGCCTTGATATTGCTGGAATATTACTAAAAGCGGCAAAAAACCATACTCACCCACCACTCCTCAGTGTGTGGAGGTGGTCCTGCTTGAAAAAATGCCTGAATTTCTACTAACCCTTGAGATAGTCCATATGAACAAATGACAATGTCAGTATTAATCTGAATGGAATTGTCAGGTATGTAGATTTGTGATGTAGATTACAATTTGCTGTTTCCAGTTGCTGTGGTGAATCATTACGCCTGTGAGAAACTGAACAACCTGGAGACCAAGTACCCAGTCATCACCCAGCCTGCTGATGAGGTGTGTGTTGGTCATGCTTGCTGTATAATTATAATCAAGTCATGTAAGAAAGATGGCTTGTTTCCCAAGACGACTCAAATTACATAATTACCGTCAATAAATTAGTACACTGCTGCTTGTAGAGCATGTGCTCAGCATAGTTCAATGTTAATGTTTATATATTTAACACTTTGATCTTCAAACAGTCACAGTGTAACCAGGTACAAATACATTCAAAGTATTCCGTGTCATTTGATTGCTAACCAAGCAATTATGTTTGAATTCATGCTTCCATTAACCGCAAAAAGAAATAGGCCACACCCACTAACAAACTAATGGTTTCCGATTGGCTAATTATAGAGTTGATGTGGCTCGTGTTGCATTATTGTGCTTAATAATGTCACTGATTTTGTATTGTCTTCATTTTTTTGTGTTACTGATTAATTAATCAATCTGTGGCATTATTACTGTTGACTTGTCTTTAAACAAACTACATTGAAGTCAATTCTTAAATTGACCTGACCGGGTGCTGTTTAATTACAGGTGTATGCCAGCAGCAAGAAAGCCTGTGAGGAATACCTGAAACCTGTCACCAGCACCGTCAGTGGGGTCTACAATGTCGGCAAACAGCAGGTCAGTCACAGCATATATCATGTGCACCAATCACAGAAGACGAGAAAAACAGGAACCTTATGACTAGATCTTGTTTAATAAAATAATCATGTACAGTAATCACTTTATCCTGCTTACAAATTAGTTTATATTTTCACTTGTCCCAATGGCAGTCTAACCACAATGTGTGGTAGGCCACAATGGATTGTTAGTAGTCCTTGAATGTACTAATTTCGAACTAGCAGACTTAAGTTGATTTTAAACCCTGCCAGGCAAATATTTATGAACATAATGACTTGCAGGTGACTCGCGTTGGTCAGTTTGGTACTGACACGGTCAATGGTGTGAAGAACTACAGCACTGCTCAGATCGCTCGTGTCCAGAGTCTGGGTCAAGGTGTGCTGGACGCCTCCCTCGGGACCAAGTATGGCCAGCTGGCTGTGTCTGGGCTGGATGGTGTGCTGTCTACATCCGAACATCTGGTGGACAGATATCTGCCCCCTGAAGATGGTAAGTTGAAGCTTGGGCCTATTTGTTTAACATTTCCTGAGTCTGATAGTGCTCAGGATAAGGTGAAGGCATTCAGTCAGTATTGTTAGTAAATGTTAATAAGTTGCAGGTTTTGTTCAGAAATGGTCGGCTGTCATTCTAGGCACCGTCCTAGTTACATTGCAAAAGATGTGTTCAGCTGAGATATTTCTAACATAGACTTTTCTTATGGAATGATATATTTCAGGTATGTACGGTGGGCTATTAGCGATACATTTATTTATTTATCATACTCCACTGCAGTATGATACATGAAAACTTCCTTATTGTCATCAATTGCAATTCATTTTCATACCAAATAACTTACTGGCACAATGTGTCGCGATGCATTGGATCTGCAGTAAGTTTGAACAGCCCAAGATATGACATATTTCATTTGTGTGAATTGTTCTTCAGGTGAGATTGACAAGCCAGAGAAGAACCCTCTGTACCGCGCCACGTCTCTCACGTCCAAAGTGCGCCGCCGCATGTACCAGCGAGCCATGCGGGACCTGCGTGGCGTCCAGGTGAAGGGCCAGGATGCCCTCTCCAAACTCAACTTCACCGTCAACCTGGTAGGTACCCAGTACCTCAACCTGTCCCTCCCTACCTTTGTCATTGTGACCTGGCTAACCATAGGGGCTCCACACTTTCAGTGATTGGTTTTGTGGCAGACCTTACTAACACATCTAGCTGACATATTGCTGACTATGGAGTTATTGTCCACACTTTATGTCCCAGGTTATAATTTGACAAACCTGGCTGATATAAGATATTAGATATAAGTTTATTAAATTACAGTGCCCCATTTTCAACCACTGTCTGTCCCTCTGGGGATTCAAGGCAATATAGGTCCCCAGCAGCTTGTGCGTGTTGTACGAGGTGACTGAATGGATAGGGTGGTCAGGCTCTCTGTCTTGCATGTCATTGTACACCAAACCCAAGAAATGTTGCTCAGAATATCAATCACTGGTTCGTCTAGTCCAGACACGATTATAAACAGCCACCATAATAAAGCTGGAATACTGCTGAGTGTGGCGATAAACAGTCTATCATACTATCATGACCACTGTATCTTTTTCTAATTAACTTCTGACTGTTATGTGTTACCCCCAGATTGATTATGCAAAGAACAACATTGAGCAGGCCAGGACCCTTGTAGGCGATGGTGTGACTGCCGTCCAGGAGAAGGTCGGCAACACCTGGACCCGCATCACCAGTGAGGAGGAGGAGGGGGGAGAGAAGAACCCTCAGGTGAGACAATACCCCATTGACTGTAGCCTCTTTATGCTCCTTGGGAGCTCATTTGTTCGCAATTTGGACAAAATGGAATGTTTCTTATCAGAAGAGTATTTTCAAAATGGCCATATCACAGATGTCTTTTTTTCTCCTGATTTATTCTCAGTGGACATTGGTAGGCTGAAAACATGTCTGCATCCATGATCACTTAGCTGAGAAAAAAAGTGAAATAGGCCATGTGAACACATTTTCTTCAGGGCACTCAACATGATCAACTTGTTCTGTTTTGTCCACTAAAAAAAACAACTAATGAATATCAAGAATTAAACAAAAAGCTATACTTGTATGGCCTAATATTTAGGATTCTGAAGCCTAAAAAATGTTAGGATTGAAAAAGAAGTTGGCACAAATCTTCAGGATGTGTCTCTGTTGATTACCTTGCTTATGGGTAGTTTGGTGATGTCCTGCTTTTGTATGCTGAAGACAGGGGTCTGTGACTCTTATACACACACTGTTCAACGTTTCACAGGGATATTCCTATCATTATGTGATTATCCACAACAAAACATCAACTATGTATTCAGTGAAACCTCCTCATTCTTTTCATCATAAAATCATCTGGATTAACACATTCCGGATTAACAAATCATTGACACTGTATGTAGTTTTGATTACAAAATTGTTCCCCACTACGATGCTCCTGAACAGTTCGTCCACCCACTCCCTCCTTGTGGACAGCTAGCAAAAGCAGCTTCATGCATCCAAGTATCGTATGTTTGTTGTTTAATGATGCACTCAGCAATATACTAGCTATGTGACGGTGGTTTGTAAATAATCTAGTCTGGACCAGACAATCCAGTGATTGACATCATGAGCATCAATCCACACAGTTGGGATATGATGACATGCGTCAACCAAGTCAATGAACCTGACCACCCGATCCCGTTAGCGGCCTCTTATGACAAGCATAGTCGCCTTTTACGGCAAGCATGGGTTGCTGAAGACCTATTCTACCCCGGATCTTCACGGGTCTCCAAGTATCACATTTGCATATGACTTGACAAGATCCAGTAGTTACAAATGTTCATTGTTTGCCACCAGAACCTGGAGGAGAGAACCATCCTCCTGGCGCGCCGCCTTACCCGCCAGATCCGCAACAGCACCAACACAGTGTCCCAGTACGTCACCTCTCAACCTCAGCATCTGCGAGAAACTATTGCTCAGGCCAAAAAATATATTGAAGACCTCTACACAACTTTTTCCAAGGTTTGTATTATAATCCTTTTTGCCCATTCAAGATATGTTTTTCTTTACTCTCCACCAAATAATGCTTGCAAAAAGGCTGATAGCCAACAATAAGAATCTGCCTGTAACTTCGGGGTACCTTTACACATGCAAATTTTGTCCAGCAAGTGGATGAATGCTTACTATTATCATTTGACGGTTACAGTTGTTATTTAATTTTTTTAATCTCAAGAAAGAGGTATCAAATCAAGAGTCCAAGATTTTGATTTCATTATCTTTTTCTGAGATTAAGACGTCTTTTAATTATTGCTCAGTTCTGTGTGCATATGGTATGAGGACACACTCAGAGTGTTTATTGATGTGACACACTCAGAGTGTTTATCGATGCGACATACTCTGGGTGTTTATTGATGTGACATGCTTAGGGTGTTTATTGACGTGACATGCTCAGGGTGTTTATCGATGTGACATACTCTTGGTGTTTATCGATGTGACAGGCTCAGGGCGTTTATTGATGTGACAAACTCGGGGTGTTTATCGATGCGACATGCTCAGGGCGTTTATCGATGTGATGTGCTCAGGGTGTTTATTGATGTGACATGCTCAGGGTGTTTACCGATGTGACATGCTCAGGGCGTCTATTGATGTGACAAACTCGGGGTGTGTATCTATGTGCTCATGTTTGTTCCAGGCTAAATCTTTTGAAGACCTCCCTTCTTGGTTCCTGAACGAAACCAAGGACAGACTGAGCTACGTACAGGAAGCTCTGAGCTTCGCCACTGATCTGCTCATTTCTACCCCCCTCAACTGGCTGGTAAGTACCTGACTCAGTTACTCTACTGGCTCTGTCTGTACTGGCCTCTGTGTATCTATACTTGTTCTGTATCTCTGTCATATACTCTTTGACCTTTTCATCATGGGTGTCTTTGGGAAAGAAATTGTGAAAATCTGATAATGGCCTCTTATAAGCACAATGTAACAGGATAGTTTGTGTATTGCTTTTTCGGTTCATTTGTATTAAACATTTGTTTGAACTGGAAATGTTGTGAGTTATACAACACATTGCACAATAACTACATTAGCAGCAAGTTCCCCCAGAACAAGAGTAAAACTGCTTAACACTGAGATTAAGAACTTTTATGTATTTTGTGTAAGGAGTGTGCAGATGTGTCTTTACAGAATATTTACCTTGTGAAGGACAATTAAGATTAATCAACTGTTCTGATAGTCTGACATACTTGGCATGGTATTTCAAAACCCTCATCTCTGTCACACCATTTTCAATGTCTCACTCACTCCATTGCTTACTGTCCCCTCTATGCATTACACATATACACATAGGATGTCTATGTGTGACGGAATGCTTCAATTTACATAGGATAGCTGCATGAAGTTTCTTGTCATTACATCATGGGGTTTGTCATCACGTTTACGATTTTGGCACTAATATTGCACGGTGCATGCACATAAGTGTGTGTGGCTGCTTGTACTAATCCCGACTAATGTTGGTTTAATAGTGCTAGTCTACTGAGATACCATGCCGCAGTCTAACATGAATACCCCACTCAGACACAGTATACTGACTTTGAGCCGACCAGTCCTTGTTTTAGCCCCTTAATACCTAGTGCCAGACAGGACAAAAACAAGTACCATCTTTTATCGTCTTTTGGTATGATGCACTTGGGCATTGAACCACTGATCTCCTGCTCTCTGGGCAGACAAGGGAGAGAATAGGTCTTCATCAACCCATGCTTGCTGTAAGAACAACAGAAAACACAAACAAACAAACCCGGTACCGGTGGATGCTCAATGACTGAATGATGATTTAAACTTAGGTTTGAGTTAGCCTTGTTTGGGTGGAATTTACTTGTATAGTACTAGAATGACAAAATATCCACACTTATGAACAAATGTAAACAAATGTAAACAATTAAACTAAACTGTAAGGTATTACAAGCTTTGATGGCTTCAGCACTTCAAAAACTGGACAAAAACTGGACAAAAACTGTTAGTTTCTAATCCTTATCTGCCATATAAACATGGTATACAATATTATGTATCTGCCATATTAACATGGTATGCAATGTATTGCATGCTTTTTAGCAAGTTGCAAATTTTTGGCCATGCATCAGTGATGTTGGGCACAGTTTCTACTGCCTGGAAATATACATGACATAGGGTCCAATTTGTATTTAATTGTTAAACAGAAGTACATACAGTCATCACAATCAGTGCAGCTTCAAAGTGATGAGGGGCGCTGTTGCCTAGTGGTTAAAGCGTTCGCTCGTCACACTGAAGACCCGGCTTCGATTCCCGACATGGGTACAATGTGTAATGCCCATTTCTGGTGTCCCCGGCCGTGATATTGCTGGAATATTGCTAAAAGCAGCGTAAAACCATACCCACTCACTCAAAGTGAAGAACCCTGTCAGCTATGGTCTTCCTACATGTCCAGTTTCACTGCAGGAGAAGTAGTAGACCGTTGGTTAAAGTGTTGTAAATATCCTGCTGAGACTAACTACCTATAAGTCCCATGTTAATTAACTCCGGTCTCCGTGTATGTGTACAGTTCACCTGCTTGTCCACTTGGTTCAGTCGGTCTTCCAGACCACTGCTTGCACTCCCAGATAAAGGCTTCATGGTCCATGGTAGTATCAGCTCCATACGATGCTCGTGGGTTTCACCAGCATCATCACATCACTCCCTGCTTTATTCCGCCCATATTTAAGAAATAAATGACGAATGGTACTCGTTTATCTATAATAAAACACTGGTTTATTTCTTATATAAGATTTCAACATTATTTACACCTCTTTGGATGATGATAAAATGTACAAGCCCTAAAAATATTTACCCAAATTTTAATGATGATGACTCTCTCAATAAAATATGACCTCGGCAAACCTGTTTGTCATATCTCTCCCGCAAACGTTCAGCCATCACATTTATCTGCGTTGCCCATCTACATCTGTGGGGAACAACTCACTAGACACTCCCCTCTAAAAAATAACAATATCTAATCATCGAGTTGCTATCCCTTGTTCGAATCTCCAGAAATGCTGTCGTGACAGAATAATGTTTTATTGTGAAATAAACCACACTTCGCTCTTCAGTGCTCTTTGCGATTTATCACGTAGCTATATTATATTAACTGATACAATATGCAACAAATTACCGGGTGGATAATGTTGCCACTAGCATGACACTGAACGCATGCACTAACAAGGAAACAGTACACCAGGCTCAGCATAGGGCATGTTGCTTCACTGTCAGTATTGCGGAATGTCACGAGTGAGAGAGCATGCCAAGTGGATTGTTCCTGTCCTCTAGGTTGTCGCATTATGCTCAACATGGTAATGGTAAAATAGCCCGGGTCGAAGGAGTTGGGATTAATTTGTTGGATTTCTTTGTAGGGTATTCATAGTGTTGGTGTGTTGCAGTGGTTGATGTGTGACCAGTCAAGGCTGATAGTTTGTAGTAGAGTTATAGGAAATGTCCTTGATACAGTTGTCCTGCTTGGTGGACAGACAGCATGGGTAGACACCATTGGTCATATCCAACTTGTCCACATCTCATTTCAGACAAGGGGGCACGGGTGGCCCAGTCGTCTTAGGCGCAGCATGTCGCTGTGCAGAGTTGCGTCCCTTGGGCATGCCAGAAACCTTAGATTGTGGGTTCGAATCTCGGTTCGCCCCGATTATGTTTCTAGGTTTGTCAGCACCATACCCGTGCTCTTATGTTTCACCGAAGTGTTATACGTCTAAGACCTGCTTTACTTCGGGCTTTCCTCCCACATTAAGCTAACACGCCGCGATATAACTGTAATGCTGTTAAAAGCAGCATTAAACCCAACTCACTCACTCACCTTGGACAAGCAGTTGTGTAAAATTACTAGTCCATCTATTTGTTGCTAGTCTGGGACTAATGGACTAGTGGACATGTCTATCCCTGGACACAGGAGGGCTGAATGTCACCTCTTTCCTAATGCTTTGTCCAATGTGAATGTCAGTAGGTTTGAATATCAGGACAGTCAAAGCATGTAATGTCTGCAGCCTTGATCCCAGTAGACAATTTCTCTGTCACACTGTTGACTTTATGAGGCAGCACCTATGTTTCGATGTTCATTAGGAATAATGTGAAGAGGTTATGGCTTATCATCTCTGAGGCAGAATAAGTACCCAGGGCTTGTCCTTAAAGTCTACTGAAATGCAGATCAGGGGTATTTACAAGGTGTAGATGTTCACCTTGTCAGCGACTGGTCGGCTTCAGTAGGATTTTTTCAGGACATATTATGTGTAATGATAAATCATCAACCATGCAGTGATGGGGGTTGCTATCAATGAAATATGTTTTTTGTCTACTGAGGGTCTTACGACCTGGTCATTTGATCAAAGCTTTGGGTGATGATGGCAGTCTTTTCCTCACTTTGTGGTTATAACTTGTGAGTGCACTACCTCCATGGACTATCTTTTATATATCTTAGGAGTAGTTTACATTAATCATAAAGCTGAAACAATACTGCGGTCACTGCTTGTCCACAATTGTCACTGTTATCTGCCCAATTCCTGATCAGACGTTCCAGAAAGATTTGTATCTGTGAAGACATTACCCAGATTCCTGAGATCCCTAGCATGTTCCTCGGTCCAGTGGCCAGCTCCTCCCATTCTAAACAATTTCCCTAGCTCCTTCACCCAGCTGATAATGCATTAGAAGTCCACCTTCTTGGTGAATGTCAATCAATACAAAACAATTTCCCTAGCTCCTTCACCCAGCTGATAATGCATTAGAAGTCCACCTTCTTGGTGAATGTCAATCAATACAAAACAATTTCCCTAGCTCCTTCACCCAGCTGATAATGCATTAGAAGTCCACCTTCTTGGTGAATGTCAATCAATACAAAACAATTTCCCTAGCTCCTTCACCCAGCTGCTAATGCATTAGAAGTCCACCTTCTTGGTGAATGTCAATCAATACAAAACAATTTCCCTAGCTCCTTCACCCAGCTGATAATGCATTAGAAGTCCACCTTCTTGGTGAATGTCAGTCAAATGTCAGAGGCATGCAAATAGCTTATTTTTCCTAGTGGGTGTAATCGACATTGTTTGTCTCGAAAGAGGAATCTGTGTTCCGGTGGTTTATGCCCTCATTATTGAGGAGTTAGTATGGTATGTGTTTTATCTTGACAGGTGTCTCGTCCCAAGGAGGCAGTAACAGAAGAGATGGAAATGAATGCCTTGAATGGCGACAGTAGTCGGAGAGAATAGAACAGTCGTCTCAGCTTCTGGAGATTTGTAGTGTCCTAGGCTTCAGTCAGACTCTCGTGTTGTGAAAGTCGTTGTAGTCAACAGGCACTTTGTAGCACATCTTTGTCATTATCAAATTTACGTTCTACATAGAAAATTAAGGTTTCCAGTGGTTGTATCTGTCAGTTGTTGTCATGGTGACTAGTTATAAACTTCTCCTGTGGGTGTTTATGGACAGGATGTACACCTACCTGCAACTTCTGAAAGATACCAACAAACAAAAGAAGAATCAGGGTTAAATGCATGTTTCAAAGTCACTTTTCAAGGATATCTTACATTCATAATATTTGGAAGATATGTACCATGTACAAATTGATGTATGTTTTCAAGGCTTTCAGAACAAACGTAATGTTTACAAAGTTCTCTGCATGCTTTGAGACAAGCTGGAGCATGATTGTATTGTGAAACTGCCTTGTCTAACACATCTGAATGTAATATAACCTTTTTTTCCTGGTAGTTATTTCACAGAAACAGTAATTACGCTGTGTTGATGATGTTGTCATTGCATACAAGTTCATTGATATGTGCATAGAGAAAGATCATTTAATGACATTTTTCTACTTTTTAATCATGGTCGGTAATCAAAAGATAACATTTACCAGATACCTCTTGACAAGGATGCATTTACAGACTTCACGTCATGTATAACATTTAGAGAATTTTATCATCATGATTTTATATGAGCTTGTAAGTCATACTCACATTTGCATAGCAAAGAAGTTGTTATAAATTCACAATTGACCATTGTTAAATGAATTGAAATGTTAAATTTATGCTAATAAATGCCAAATAAGGGATTATATATCATTTCAAATAATCAATGAACTTTCGGCCTTATATTTCGGATTCATGGAAGTAAGGGACCTCTGATTGTGAAATCAGTCTCCTCTCATCGTAGTTCAGTCTCTGCCAAACACTGGTGACACTACCAGCCAAATCCTCACAGCATCTTCGGTAGATTTTACTGGTTATGGAAAGTCCATTGTCAGTAAAGTTTGCTTGTCTGAAAGAATGTGATTTATATAAGATTCAGGGCTTCCAGAGAGGTTTCAAAGCACAGTCAAAAGTTATTAATCCAGATTTATTACAGTAAAGAATGATTATTCAAATCTCATAATCACAAATATATGCCCTAGAAATCTACATGTCTTTAATCATGGCTAATAGCATGCCTTCATATTAAATCGTGAACTTGCACTCTAACAATCCTACTCAAATTGTAATTCGTGCACTGTAAGTAAGTGTTCATCAGTGTAGAGATGGTGGTGTTATCAACATATGTGCTGTGCTTGTCAAACATTGATAATGTAATTCATATACAATGAATAAAATAATCTCTTATTAGAAGTGTTGTGTTGCTGCCAAGAGAGTGGAAGGTTACTGGTTTAATGCCTGGACGCTTATACCAAAAGACGTTAAAAGATGGTACTTGTTGTGACCCTGCCTGGCGCTCATTATTAAGGGGACTAAACAAGGACTGGTCGACTCGGAGCCAGTGGGGTATTCATGTTAAACTGCAAGGTGGTATCCCAGTGAGCTAGTACTAAAAAACTGGCATTAGTAGGGACTAGTACAAGCAGACATGTAAGTGAAATAATATTGAAGATGACAATAAACCCGATTTCATCTCACCAGATCAAGAACACATAATGTGTCATATGCTGCCACAGCCTTTCTTACACTCAGTGTATTACATGATATTTGATAGTCATGATGGTTTCCTGTAGCCGTATAATCTCTTTATCACCAACAGCATTTTTTATCTTCTCTCATGAATCTATATTTTGCCATGTTGTGATTGGCTGTTTTTTTATTGTCGGATATCTGCGTGGTAGACTTGGTCTTCAGCAACATGTTTGCCGTAATAGGCGAATATGCTTGTCGTGACTAACAGGAATGGGTGGTCAGGCTCACTGACTTGGTTGATGCTTGCCATCATATCCCAAATGCGTGGATAGATGCTCATGATATCAATCACTGTCTGGTCCAGACTCGATTATTTACAGACCTCCGTCATATAGCTGGAATATTGCTGAGTGCGGTGTTAAACAACAAACAAATGATATCTGCAGACAGGGAGGAGAGTACATTGTACATTATAGATCCAATATCAAATAGACCTTGTGTTTAATCTTGAACCCTAAGAATGAGGTAGACACAAGAATTGGAAGGAAGCCCATGATACAAGCAGTGATGACCTCTAAAGAAGGACTCTTGGCCAGGACGGATATCATTGTAGCATCGGTCTGTTGAAGGGTTAATTTATGGCCAGTATCCACAAGATCACTGAACTCTTTTCACTGTGTGACTGACGAATGGTGTACATGAGAAATACCTGTTAGCAACCAAACCAAGTTTGATTTAAGTCGTTAAAACACTTTGCCAACACAAACTGTAAGGCGTACAGTGAAACCCATTCCCTAACAAAGTGCATTACTTGCATTTTGCGGAGCGGTGAGTTAGCCTAGTGGTTAAAGTGTTCGTTCGTCACGCCGAAGACCCGTGTGAAGCCTATTTCTGGTGTCAGCCGCCGTGATGTTGCTGGAATATTGCTGAAACCATACTCACTCACTCATTCACTTGCACTTTGGTTTATGGGCCGGATTAAATTAAGGAACCAATGGCTACATTGTATTTTCACATACTGTTATTGAAGATGTTGAATTTCTTTCTTAAAAACTCTCGCCCCAAACTGTCACCTACCTACTTCACATTTTGAGGAAATACAAATCCTTAAACCAAAATAAAAAAGAAGAGAAAAACTCTGGCCATAATTAACCTGGGACAGTGTCTCCTTTTGACACAAGGAACCAATTACAAACCTCTGACCTTGCGAGAGAGAGAGAGTACTTGCTGTGTCTGATGTTACAGCATTAACCAAACCAAACACCTCACGTCGTTTCCTGCCATGAAAAACGTTTCTGATAGATGTGTGTTATATTTATACTTCCGAAGTGGACATCTGTTAGAATTTGCATGTTCAAAGAATAACATGTATCCGTTAGGACTGATATATCGACCACGGGCTGAAGCCAAAGCTCTTCACAGGTAGACAAAGGTTACTCCACTCAGATACACCCATTCTTCTTGAGCTCAACGCGATTGATTCATACCAGTGGCAATATAACTGGACTATTAATATTAAGCTTTTGGTTGGCGGGTTGTGGGAATCTATTTAGAGGTTATGCGGAACTTAGCCATGTGGTACGCGGAACGCAAATACAATCGTATTTGGTATGATCATTTAACGTTAAAAAAAATGATGGTGGACGAAATTAATTCCTATATGTTATATTTTTTCGATATTCCTCAGTAAGTTCTTCAAATCGCACCCTTTTATCACCTAGGAGCGTGTTCTGTAGGTTTTCCTTTAACCTTCATGGAGTGAATTCTGGTATGTGGTTTTGAGATTTATGTTATTAAAGTAACATTTGGGAGTCAGGGGATCCCTCAATATTGCCTGCGACATCACATTTTATCTTTCCTGAACCGTTTGTCCGCGGTTTGTCAGCACCATACCCGTGTCAATGTGCGTCGCCTATGCGTATGGTAACCTGCTATACGACCTGCGTTGCCCGGCTTTCATCCACTTTAACCTAAGTAAGAATAAGATTTATTGATGAACAACTTCTTTATTACAATTAGGAGCGACGTTTCGGTGTAGGTTCTAACACCGTTAGTACTCCAACTTCTAAATGCCTCTCAAAGAAGTCACATTAACCTGACCCGTCGTCAACATTTCGTGCTAGTCTGTTATGTTTGTTTGTCTTTTTAACGCCCCACTCCGCAATATTCCAGCTTTATGACCGTGACCTGTAAATAAGTGATTGATATTGTGACCATCGATTCATGCCGTCGGAGTACGATGATACGCTATCAACTAAGTCACCGAACCTAACCATCCGATCCATTTAGTCGCATCTTACGACCAGCTCAGGTTGCTGGAGACCAATTCTAACCCGGAATCCCCACGGGGCTCGTCTGTTAGGAACATGTTCAAATTGTTTTGCGTCTACGCCCTGAAAATCTCTCCACATAAAGTTAAAACTGTTCGAAGCCACCTGACTTAATTATATTTTAACTCTCTCAGAAGCATTATCATGATTTTTTTAAATAATGAGGACTTAAATCTTTAATTAACCAAACCATTATAAACTGTCTTTATCATTTTGAGGTGAATCTTGAAACCGTCACAGACGTAATAGTGGAAGAATTGTTAGATACTGAAGACACTGTCATTATCTATCTCTGTTCACTCTTCTGTCAGGTTTTCTTGTCTTATCTACAAAGCCCAAAATGCTTGTAGTTGTAGGGTATGTATATATGGATATTGCATTCACAGGTTGTATGTTATTTAAGAAATAAACGACGAGTGGGAGTTGTTTATCGTACAATAAAACACTGCAGGGAGAATAAACCAAGAGGAGCGCATGCTAATTATGGTTAAGCGGCAAGATTTTAATTTTTTCCTCTTTCACAGAAGGTGTTGTCAGTTGTCATAATGAGATGTTTTTTTACAGTGTTTTTTTGTTCCGTAGGGTCGAATCGGTAAACCGAATAATGAAAAGAATTACTGACATTTATTGGTCACAAATGGACCAATTATATCGCAGCTAGTTTGGGGTACTTTGGGAAGTTATGTCAAATGCTTCCTTTTATCAGTATTTATGTATGTTCGTCATTTATTTCAATTATATAGTTTGACGTAGTTCAGAAATCAATGCGTATTTTGTTTCAAAATGACTATAAACAGTTTATCGTTATTTCAGAGCCTTGACCTTGACCTGCATGACTTTCATTTGGAGGACCCGGAATTCATCAGCAGCAATGGGCTTCCTCACGTCCCAGCACGTGGACCAGACAGTGCTCGGCTGGAGTGATTCTTTGTTCCTCAACACACTATATACTACTCAAAAGTAGTTAAAGAACATCCGATCTTTTCATATGACTTTAGATTATCTGTCCTGTCATGAAAATCGGGTGTTCTACAACTACTTTTGAATAATATATAGTTTATATACCACATGACTAAATTGTAATATCTTGTGTCATGTGTTAGTAAGGTTTAGTGAACACGGGATAAGTTGCGCATGTTTTTATTAATCCACATGTATTGCCGTATGGGTTTTAGAGCTTAGCAAATCAATGTTGTGAATTGTTGATTAGTTGTTATCTTTTTGTGAATGATAAAGTTGTTTTAAGGAAACTGTAATCCTCAGAAACCCGCGCCGATCAGAGCAATGTACTTTTGCTGTTGTGACATTGAAACAGAGCGGAAGTAATCACGTTCCCTTTGAAATCGAACATTGTATGCGTGGGTTTTTTTTTAATTCATTTATCAGAAGCTAATTTGCCCTCCTCGGAAATTAGTTTTAATATGTATTTAGATAATTTGAAAATAATATATATATATACATATACATATATTATTTTCCGCCTATATATATATATTTCGCCGCATATATATATATATATATATATATACACACACACACACACACATGTATGCATATATATATATATGTATGTATGTATATGTATATATATATATGTATGTATGTATATGTATATATATATATGTATGTAAGTATGTGTGTGTGTATATATATATATTCTACAACTACTTCTACAATTCGCTTTGCAGTGTTGCGTCGCGCCAGAAACCTATGATCGTGGGTCCGAATTCTCGGTTTGTCCCGATTATGTTTCTTGGTTTGTCAGTAACATTCCCGTGCTTGTGGGTTACGCCAAAGTGGTAAACGTCTGAGACCTGCAACACTTCGGGATATCCTCCAACATCCACATCCGTAAACGATGTAATGAAGAAAGAGGCTTGAATATGAAATTATCTGAGGAGGCAAGAATGTTTGAAAGAATTGCCCCCAGTCATAGCCCCCAGTCATTGCCCCCCCCCCCCCCCACCCCCCCCCCCCCCCCCCAGCTGTCCTTCATCACACATGAACACTCCATGAAGAAACTATTTACTTGACACTACGCAGGATTTTACACAAATGTTAACGAGTGAGTGAGTATGGTTTTACGCCGCTTTTAGCAATATTCCAGCAATATCACGGCCGGGACGACAGAAATGGGCTTCACACATTGTACCCATGTCGGGAATCGAACCCGGGTCTTCGACGAGACGAACGCTTTAACCACTAGGCTACCCGACCGCCCCCACAAATGTTAACGAGCGTATACACATTTTGTAACGCATAATATACAAAATAATTTGACAAGGAATGTGTGAAAATCTCTTCAATGTCACATAAAGTTGCAACTATGTGACACTTTAAGCTGTAGCTTCCCTTACTCTGATTTCTGTGATGTGCTCCAGAGGTTCA